AGTTAAAGTAATTAGGGTTTTTTTATTTGTGTGCCATCCACCATGCAAGATAATATTCTCAAATCTTTTTAACAATATTTACTTCCAATTGTTAATTATTACAAATAAATCTTCTTTTGACTTTAAAATTTTATTACCAATAGCCTCAGTTAGTGGGAATATATCACATAATTAACTTTTAAATTGACCTAGACTGGTAGACGTTGAGGGCTAATATTGACACCCGATTTTTGTAGGTTTAGATCGCCCCGTAATCCAGTAGGACAAATCTCTTATGTTCCCGTTGTTTTGGGATACCCCAATTTTTTTAAGAGCGTTTTTAATGAATAATGTATCCTTCCTAATTAGCGGTGAGGCCCCCCTTACAGTTTGTACACCTTAAAAACCTACCTTTATCTTTCTGAGATAACTATCTTCGTGGCATGACTATCACCGCCTTTAAAATATTTGTGGCTTAAGGAGAAAGATATTCCGCTACAACAGAATATTGGCATCTAAAGCAATGCGCTACCGCTATTCTTCAAAAATTTTTTTTAGAGACCGTTATATAGACCACATTTTAATTTTCTGAGAAGAGGTGGTTCAACGTGGCTCTAGCAGTAAAGTTTTGATCTTTTTATAGTGTCGCATTTTGGTGACTGCAAAAGGGTGGCGTCTAGCTCAATAAAGACGCTATGTAAGACCATTTCTATCTCTTTCTCAAAAGGTAACTGATAAGATTAGTATTTAGAAGTACGGTTCTAAGTTTTTTATATTTACTTTCTTAAGTACCATTCTTCTGAATCCATGTCACGTCTTTAAATTGTACGAATAAACATCTCTAAACTTAACTACTAAGAGTTATGGGTTATTCATAACTTCTTATGGAACTATCAATACCATTATTTTTACTATTATTACTAGTATTGATATTATTAACTGCGTTTTCGCAATCTTTATCGTTAGTAGTTTTTTTTTGCTATAAAAGGTGCTATTTTTATATTTTTATTATTAGCCTATTTTTCTTAATTTTGGTAAAGTCTTGCAGGTTTTAAGTTTATTAATTAAAAAGTTCGAGCTTAGGGATTATTGTTAAGAGTAACTTGATCGGTATCAATAGGTGAAAGAAATATATTTTAGTTAAATTTATTACTTGGCTCCTCTCCCGGGTCAGGGCCTGTAAAAAGTTCTCCATAACTTTTCACAAATAATGAAGTAACAATTTGTAGCAAACCTAAAGTAAATCGTTAAAGTGAAGTGCATAGACCACATCCAAAAAACTTTAAGAAATATAATCCTTGACAAAGGCTTAATTTAAAAATTATTGACAGTAATTTTGAGAGTGTTAGCTTAGTTACAATTTTCTTGACACCAAGCTAATAAATTGTATCATTTCTTTTTTCCTTCCGACCACGAGCGGAATAGACTCATGTAAAGTACTCACGGAGAGTAACTCAATAAAGCAGCTCTCTTTTCTTTGTTTATTTTTTGCCTCGGTTTGACCCCGTAGCCTTGCTTTTATATGAGGCTTTGGTACTTTTTATAAAAAGTGAAAGTTAGGGTGTTAGTGTTTTATTACAAATTAGACATCGAATTTAAATAAAGAAAATGCAGTCAAATTTAAAGAGCTGAGCGACCATCTTATCTTCGAACTTGAGTTTTTGCGTCAATGAAACAGCCTAGCTACCACAACTCCTGAGCTTAGTAAGATGGATTTACAAAATAAGTAATTGTTATACTCCATGTTGTTAACCCTTTTGAAAGTTTTTGTACTAACTCGCAACCCGGTCATGAGTGCCTCGCTTTTTGTACAATATCACTCAGGCCTATAAATTAGTCATTGTTGAGTATCCTAAATGCTTACTGTTTAGGCGACGTTGGGTGGGATCCGCGCGAAAATTTATATGTACATATAAAGGTAAATAACATTATCAGTAAGAGCGCATATACCTATATACTAGCGAAGGTATATAGCAACACACACTATTTACACCAGCACGAAGAGAAACAAAGTACCCAGTCGTACTAGCGCCCCTAGAAAGGAGCCTAGCGTTATTAAAGTCGCTCGTTATTCCACCCTTATATCGGGAGCCTTCGGCAGTACTTATTTGATGAAAGGTACAGTCGCTGACATAGCTTAGCAAGTCTCACCAAGGTTTCATTCGAGGGTTAAAAGGCTCTGTTTGATTTAAATTTAAATATAAGAATAGCTGACATCAACAGGCAACACCCAGCAAAAAGGCGCAAGCATCAACTACAAAAGTTATTCCACACGTGAAGGCCTCACCTTACTCGTATCTTAAAGGGACCAGCCCAATTAAGCCCGGGACGATAAGTTAGTCTCTAGCACAGAGATAAAACAGGGAATTCCATAGAATATCCACAATTCTGAAGTTTTCCCAAGAGTGGGAGCATACTTATTAATAAATAAACTTATAAGTTCGATTTTAGACGCCATCTATAGCGTTCCGGAGTAGCCTCCAAACGCTCAGCACAGAGCTTGAAAAAGGAAGGGACCATAAACACAACTCCACGGTTTTGTAGTCAGAAATGAGCTCAAGTTATGTCACACTAGTGAAAGATGCGAATATCCTGGAGGCCCAAGGAGCTAGAACCCATGACGCTAATAAGTAATAGAGGGTGATGACATGACCAAGTCGAGATATACCTTTAGTCGGACCAAATTTAATCTCTCCATGGTGTCCTATTGTTCCCCTTGGATTTTAAACCCACGGGAGAACGTGAGAACTAAGCATCAGCTTGGACACCTATAAATAGGGCCGATCTTTTCGGTAACAAAGAGCAGTTCTTGCTGTACTAAAGACTGTATTCCCTATTACGAAAAAAATGAGAATAGCTAACGGTCAATTGCCACCACCAGGGGCAAAACTACATGGCCCTATAGCCGAAGCAGATCTGTACCGCTGGCATGTGTATATCTTCAAAGGATTGCCAAAGCGTACCTCGCAGTGGTCAAAGTAATTAGAAAGAGTTTTAAAAGATTCTTCGCGAACTCAAAATGAACCAAGAGGGAAAAGAGCGTGCTGCCCATTCTAAAACTTGGGAGAGTTGTAGGGGTTTATTAAAACAAACCACTGCCCAGTAGCGTTATTCTTAAATAGTGTAATTACTTAGTAAAAGAGAGTAGGGTACCTTCCTGGAAGCCTTCCCTTAAAGTAGATTGTCATTAGGGTACCTGGGAGAGGAGCCCAATCTATAATTCATTGCAGCATTCATCATAAAAACATCAATTCAAGCGGAAAGAGATATAGGTTAGTATAGTCTACGTAAGCTACAAGCCATGCTAAATCCCTAACCAGAGAAAGAATACTGTAAATTGATTAAGTTTATCACTCCATTGTACTGGCTTGCTCTAACAAAAGCCGTAGTCAGCTCGTAAGATAACCCCTAATTAATTTATGGCGATAATATCGAACACGAGAGAATTAGAATGAATCAGAGCACCATTGCTGAAAACAGCATTTCCATATTAGCACAATTACAAAGGTCAAGTTATATTGTATTATTGTATTCTATATTTTATACTAATGTATTACATTCTATCCGTTCAATTATTCTACTATATTTATTTTATTTTGTTGTATTATACTATATTTTATTTTATTATTTCTATTATTCTATATTATTCTATATTTCACTATAAAGTATTCCACAAAAGCTAACAGATAAGACGCCCGGTTAAACAAGCTCTTTGAAGCTTTAACGCTAACATGAAGTAAGACCTTCATCACAATTATTACTGTACTGACCTCATTGACAGAAACCCATAGGCCTGCATAACACATTAGGAACATACTAAGTGCCTGCTTAAAATAGACACCACCTTGCCAGCGCAGTTCCATATAAAAGGCCAGAATTATTTTATTTCCTTTCATATTTGCCCTACTAATTGTTAGTTTCTTTCCCAGAGAGAGCCGAAATTATTCCACTCTTTATAACCGAGACAGAACTATTTCACAATAGCCTTTTAATACTAAGGAGGCCTCCTTACTCTTTGTGAACTAAGGTTAATTACTTAGGTCATTACAGGAATTGAACCTGTTAGTTAAAATTTGCATCCTCGACGTAAACCACAAAGGATTTTGATGTGCTAGAAGGAATTGAATCCTCGTCAGAGGCTTATGAGATCTAGTCAGTAACCATTAGAACTAACCCCTTCGTTCAGCCAATGGCAGAGCAAGTGCCTATGACGCATTAGAAATTATGGGAGCGAAGTTTAAATGCAGCCGTTATAAACCGGAAAAGGGAGTCGGACCATAAGATTCGAGATCCGCAACCGAAGCGGTTGCCCTCAATACTTTAATCAATTGACTAAGCTACAACGATACCTCTTAATCTTAATCTTGGTATGGAAGGGCGCTAACGATTATTAAAACCTGTTAACCTTTTTAAACTGAGATGTAACAAACCAATAATTTAATTTACTATAAACCGTTGCAAGGAATGTTAAAACCGACAACGACAATGGCGAGAAAAAACGTCTTAAAGAATAAAAAAAATTTTAAAGTTTACTTAAAATTTATGTGGTTTGGGTGCACTATAAATAAAACAGCTTAGCTGTGGCTAATATTCATGGAAGGTTTTAACAACAAATATCCTGTTTAGAAAAGCTTGAAAAAATAAATTTTGAATTTTAAATATAATAACTAATTACAATTGATATTAAAACATAAGAATAAATAACTAAAACCCTATTAAGCTCTCTAGAAATTATAAAACTTTTAAACTAACAACGTTTCTAATTCTTTTTTATATTAAATTGCAATTGAGGTGTAACTAAACCCCAAATATTAGAATTAGTTCTCCTATAAGAGGTAATATTTACACAAAAAGGACGCTGATTTGCTAATTTTTAAGCTTACGAACTCCACTAGTAAAAAAATATTTACCAAAAAATGTATTTTCACGTGTCATATTGTCCAAATTCTAAGTGGTTATCTGTGCTTGAACTTAATATATTTTACGTAACTCTGTCGCCTGTGTCGTTAGAGGTACAAGTATTGGAAACGCTAATACACATGCTATTAATCTAAATATTATATATGTAATTCTTTTAGATGTTGTCTTCTATTTTTACGCTGTTTTTTTCTATCTTTTTCATGATTTGTGTGTGTATACATTTAATTCTAGTTTACATTTTAAAATTGCATTATTATTAGATAAATAGTTATAATTGATTATTTAGTAAGCTTATATACCTTTTATTTTTTACTTATTAATTTATAATATTTTTTACTTTCCCATATTTTTTTGTTTATTTATGTGATCATTGGTTCCTCCAACTCAAGGCATTTCTTCATATATTATTATTTTATATTAATTTTCTTCAAGTTTATTATTAAATAGTCTTTTAAGCCAATCTTCTAACTTTATAACGTTTCAAATAAATATATTTTGTAATTTATATTAGTTAGTATAATAATTCCTTTTACTTTTTTTTAGTTTATACATATAAATAAATGGATGTAACAACTGAAAAAGAAGCGGATGAAGAAATAATTATCGGGTCTACTTCCTCCGTTCCGTGTATTTGTTCTTTATTTTATTAACAGCCTATAAAATACTTAGAGTTTTTTGTTTTAATATATTTTTATTAGCGGATTCTGGTAAGAAAGATTCAGTATCCTTTAAGGCTCGGTCAACTCTTACGAATAGAATCGTTAGTTTATTAGTTTATTAACTTTTAATTTATTTATGATTTTATTATAAAATTTATATTATTAACACTGTTTACTTTTATATGAATGTTTACTTTTTTTTGTTTATCTTTCGTTATTTTATTTAGTAATATATAACTAAAATATATTATGTAAAAATAAAGTTTTTTTGGCTGCTAAAGTCGTGGAAATACATACGAAAGAAGATTCCTAATGAGTTTTTTTCATGGAAGAGGTTATATTTTTATTCTACTTTAAATGTTTCTTAGTTTTAATTTGGGGTAGTAACATCTATAGTTTTTTAAATAAGTTTGTTGTGATCAATTCTTCTAAAGTTTCTTGTATTTTTAAATTGTTGTACAAAATACCACTTTTTTTATTACTTTTTAACCTAACAAGCTAGTTGTGATCATATTGTTATTACAACCCAGGTTTTTTTTTAAAAGTTTATATTTCACTTTATTATGAATTTGTTTTATTTTTTTGATACTGATAAACTTTTATCTAGCTGACCGGCCAAACTTTTTGGCATAACTTTACCTAGTCTTATTTATTACTTACTAAGCGCTCTTTATCTTTTTCTATGTCATCTCTAACTTTTATTATACAGCTTAAAGACGTTTAGCCTTCCATTGCACTAAAACTTCGTTTTTTTTTTTAAATTTATTTAATTATAATTACGTGTTAACCATATTTTTTTAGTTGATTGATTTTATTTTTGCTTTTACGGTTATATGGACGAATATGGTCTCCATATTTTGTTATCTACTCCGCAGGCATCTCATCTTTGCTCTCCTCATTACTTCGTTGATGTTACTTTTTCGGTTTCTTAAGGAGAAGTTTGTTACTTGTACCCGCGATGTGGGCTCCTGTGATAATATAGAAGTTCATTGGACCTCCATGATCCCCCCGATATTTTCAGTGGGCTTTTCTGCTTGTTATGGCCAGGTGCTCCCTCCTTTTTACGTGTTTCTTGCATCTTGAAGAGTATACTTACCAAATATTTTTCTTTTTATGTTTGAAGAAGTGCAGTTTAAAAATATTTTCACTGGTAACCAGTGTGGGTTTACATATGATTTTAATTAAACAAGAAAAAAAATAGATTAGACGACGTTATTTTGAACTATTACAGTACATGTCTTGTTGTATAAATTGTAATAATAATAAAGTTTTTCTGTTTTAACTAAAGTATATTTACTTGTGTTCAGGTGCTCTTCTCTTTGGGGATGGGTGTTATAATTGGCGGATTTATCGCCTTTTCGACGGATGTTGTTAAAGCTTTTGATAAACTTTTACTGAAAGCCATTCTCGATGTGGATCACGGTTAGCTACTCTCGTGATTATCAATTATCATTAATGCCTCCTATAAGCCTATACACTTGGCTTTACCCTTGTACTTATCGGCGCCGTGTATGTAATGCAGCGCTCCGGCGGACTGGACGGTCAGTATCTCTCGCTGCGATAGTAGTTTTTAGTCACTTTCACATTACGTCGGTAGGTTTTTGTAAAGTGTTAACAAAATTTGCCCGTTCGCCACGTGGCACTCGCATTGCCGCTGTTGTTGCTGGACTTCTTTTTTTTTTTGACGATTATGGCAACTCTGTGGTTATTGGTACCACGTTTCAAGGTAGTAATATTTATATACTTACGTGGTTGTACATATAATAATAATACTACTACTAATTCTAATTTTTTAAGTTCTTACTGATAAAATGCAAATTTCCCGAGAGAAACTGGCTTACATATGCGATTCTACGGCTTCTCCCGTAGCAGGATTGATACCAATATCCACGTGGATTGGTGAAGTTTTCTCTTTATGTTACTGTCATAATTCTGAATACTTTTCCAGGACCAGAGCTGAATGCTATAAATAATGGCTTAAAAGTTTCCCAAGTCGAAGACAAAGGCTTTAATTTCTTTCTAAAGGTTTCCTTGAATCTTACAATTATCATGTTAATAAGTAGTATTAATAATTATAAAATTTTTAGACGCTTGCGTACCGTTTTTATTCTGTATGCACCCTCTTTCTCTTGTGTTTCTCTTCCATTTTTGAAAAAGGTCGTTCAATGTATAATATTTTACAATGACCAGTTACCGTCTTTTCTTAAGACTTTGGGCCAATGCTGAAGGCAGAGGTTCGGGCTCTGCGGGAGGGAAAAGTTGTAGCTGATGATGCAAATATAAGTCGTTCTCTTACGAATACTGGCAAAGCTTGTTATAACTATTATTTTAGAAAATATTGGCTCGGCCAGCGAATATATTAAGGCAGACCCCAACAAACCGCAACGATGGTACTATGCAGGTTTACTTGCTTCGTCTTCATTGATACTTTTATGTTTTCCTATTTGTCTTTTAGCCATCCCTATTGTGTCCCTTCTTTTATTTGCATTACTGGGTTTTTTTTATGACAACAAAATGAAAATCGAGAAAGTTACAAATTTCAATATATTTAATAAGGAGGCATGGACAATCGCAATGGGTCTATATTATTATTATTGTACTTAACATTGGGTTTACTGTTGTGAAAATCAGCAAATGCGGACAGTGGAAGAGTTTTGCTATTTTGTTCATTAGGAATTACTGGGCTTGCCGTCTTACTGCCACTATACGGCAATGTGATTGGCTTTGACGATGCACTTCGAGCGTTTCTCTACGCGATTCCCAGTATGCGCGAGTCTGTGTATCTTCTTATTTTGTCGTGGGGTATCTCTTTTTAATATTCTGTTTATCTTTTGTTATTATACTTATCCTACTCTATTTAGCTCTGCAAAATACCTGCTCTGAGCTGAAGACGTCCTATTATCTTTCTTTTTTTATTAAAGGCATTAATATCCGTTACATTCCTGCCATCTCCTTTTTATTGGCCTATTTGTCATCTTTTTGCACTGGATCCTCGTGGGCTACCATGGTATAGGAATTCATGGCAATTGCTTATAAATTTTGAATATTATATTATTTTGGTTCTTTTAGTTGATATTAATGCCGATTACTCTTCCTTTGGCCTATGCTGGAATTAGTACTTCAAAAGGTTTTATTATTATTGAAAGTATCAATTCATTGTCATATACTAATACTTTTATTTAGACCCAAATATGGAATTTATAGCTTACATGACTGGCGCTGCCGTTTTTGACGGAGCAATTTTTGGTTTTAACATTACTATTATTGTTGTACTTATTATTATTGTATATATATATTTATGATAGGCGATCACTGTTCTCCTCTTTCTGATACAACGTTAATATCGAGTATCTGCAGTGGGTGCGACCTAATTGCTCACACCAAAACTCAACTTCCGTATGCTCTTGTCGGTATATAGTTATACTCAACTATAGTTATTTTTTTCAGTATTCTTGACTTCCAGTATACCCTTCACTTCTCACTTTGTTGGTTATCATAATCTATTATTAGCCGGACTGATTGCGATACTACTTGGGTACATACCGGTGGCCAATGGCATGCATGCTGGTTTTTACTATCTTATAGCCTTCGCCTTAACGTTCTTATTGATTATAATTTTTGGTATACACTTTTAATATTATATGAAAAGGTTATTTAGTTTAAAAATTGTTTTGTTTGCAGGAGCCAGCCTACCTGCGCCGGTTGATGTGGAGAACAAATCAAATGCTTCTTATTCTGCAGTCCGTGTCCTCTCCCCTTTTGAGAGGACATTGCGTCATGTTATACAAAAAGTCAAGCGTTAGATGAGTTTTACTAATAAAAACGGTTTAATATTTTTTTATTTATATCAGGCCGCTTTTAAATTTTCCGTAACTTTTTTTTCCAAACCTTTCTCTTTACACGCAAGTAATTTATTGTACCATTGAAAAACCAATATGCCTATTGTAAGAGTAGTGAATGCAGTCAAGAAACTTAAAAATATCTGTTTTCTCATAATATAGCATTTTTGCTTACCGCGTCTTGCCAAGTATATGATGTTTTTTGTAGAGTTTAAATCTTGATTCAAAAAATTCTAATTATTTTATATAATTACTGTCAGGATATAAAATAGTACTTATAATAGCTTTACATAAGGAAAGCTAATTTAACTTGCCTAACTGAGAAAATTTAGTAAAGCAGATATACAAGAAACTTTAAGGGTGCTTGGTTATTTGAACCTTCCAAGTTAGCTTTGTGGTCGCAAAGTTAAGCGTTGGCTATAATGGATTCTCGATATTGTCGCTATTATCTTAGTTTTCAACAACTCATGATTGTCAAGTATTGGAAAGAAATTTTATCATTTATCCGCATACCGACAGAGCGAGTATTAGCGTCATTCGCTTTTTGATGTAATCGAAACAAGATTTTTGTATGTTTGACAGAAACTTTTAGCACATGCAAGACTCCAATAGGGTAGAGCACACTAGTAGTTGTAGATTTTGAGCAAAGTTCATTAGGAGTTAAAAATTGTTATAAGCGGCAGAAAGCGGAATATTGGTGGCACCCCCAAATATAGAATTTATATATTTACTACTGTAGCATTAAAATATATGAACTACGTTTTACTCTAAGTAATACTTTATTACAAAAAAGTTGGTAGGTAAATGTTTAATATGAATAGGAAAACCAATAAAGCAAGATAGAGCCTTCAATCAGCTACTTGAAAGTACTTTATACTTGTGCTACCAAACACAAGCCAGCTAAGCTAACAAAAACGTTAGGTTAATCTTAAAACATTTAAAATTCGATAAAAATAACAGACGATGCGAGATTCTAGAAGGAGTTAACAAAGGGCATGCCTTGAAAGAAAAAGGGAAAACTTTTGTAGGGAAACGATGGAACACGCATCAAAAATGCACTTTTCCATATAATTATAGAACTGTAGGAAAAAAGGTGTTTAGAGACCAACGCAAAAGGTGGGAAGTAGGCGATAACTAGAAAAGTTTAACAATTCAAAACCTACTAAAAATCTAAAAATTATCGGTATATACTTAAAAAAAATTTCCAGAAAAATCTTATTTAATTGTAACATAAATATATAGTTCGCACTGAGGGCAATATACTAGCCTCCTGAGATAAGTGAAGAGATAAACGAAAAGGTCCGGCAGGCAGCATACTGGCCGGCGTTTACCGATATATTCCCCATCTTCTCAAAATTAATGAGGGCAAAGTTAAAATGTGCAGTTATCAAACACCGAAGAAGTGAACCCAGCCCACGAGCTTAATTTTGCGCGACAATGCACTTAACCTCTAAGCTACGACAACAACTCCAAATAGTTATTTAAGAAACAAAAATAGAGGCATGTTTAACAATGAAAGCAGGAGAGCGTGGTACTTTTAAAACCCTTGAAACTACCGTTTTGTAAAATATGATACATTTAAGAAGGAGCTTTAAAGACACTGACTTTAACAAGTAGTATAAAAGTTCAAAAAGATAACTTACAAAATTTAGTGGTTATAATTATAATAATAAAACATTGTTTGTCAAGCCTACAGGGTTATAGATTGTTACCTTTTTAAATAAGCTTTGCTCTTTAGTGGGTTAATTGTAATATACGCCACCTGGTCAAACCATTACTCAAGTGCAGTAACTTACTGTGTAAAAATTACAGTGAGTCATGTGTGTGTTTCATTGTCAGACCTTTAAAATAAGCTGGCCGCCTTACTGTTACGCAAAATACACTTTAGCGCAGGAACTACTTAGGAAGCGAAAAAATATCTGATTCTTATGAAGTTAAACTCGCGGGCCACACTGTGTTACAAGCCCCTTGCGTTCAAAAATTATTTACAAGATTAATTCCTTTCGCAAATTGTACGGAAAAAAAATATTGCGAGAGCTTAGTAGTAGAGTGGCCCCTTTGAAACTCAAATAAAACCCTTACATTCAAAGAGCGCTCTGCAAACTTCCTTACCTGCTCAAATGCTGCTTATTTACTATGTCGTAATATGATGGAAGTCTGGTAGGATTGTAGCTTTAACTATGAATAAAGACACTTTAAATAGGGAGTATCTATAGAATGATGCATACAAAATGACACTATGTGCGTTATTTCTGTAATAGAATAAACTGAAACATAATAATTAGCTAACGTTATGTAACCACGCTTCTAATGAAGTATCCGAAACTATAAAACAACATAGTATATTTAAACAATAACTACTTGTCAAAAATTTATTGATTACAATCCCACAACGACTAACAGTACAGCTGCCGCAGATTGGAGTGCTACATTCAACACAAGTAAAACTTGTCTTTCTGTCTTTCCCTCTTAAATATACCTAACTTTTCTCATGAGTTGGGCTGGTTATGGGTTTTTGAGGAATTTATGAGAGGTTCAGTCGCAATTCACGAGGAGACGACTGTTCAGCAACCTTTTGTGCAAACTTTACAAGTTGTTTAGTAAGGCTTTTGATATATTCTAATCTCTTCTGCACACGATTGCCAGGGATACTATAAAATAACTCGAGCAATGACGAGGCTCAATTTTAAAAGAGTAAAGAAGATAGCTTGAACCATAGGTTGGTTCGTCGACTAGTAGAGTAAACGGTATAGTTTGCCTCCTCTGGTTTCATTGAAAAACTCGATAATTCTAATTACCCAGACACCGGGTGAATGCGGTTTTTGTGGTGCATTGAAAAAAATAAAAATTTATTCTTCTTTGGCACAAGGGACACTAAAGTGATGTCTTAAGTAAAACCGTAAGTCCATTCCTGTCCCCTGACCGAATAAATATAGACATTGTTTAAGAAGAAAGTATTGGGCTTTCGCATTGTTCAATACCATAATTTTTAAACCGTGTTTCCTAGATTTATTTGGCATTTACATGAGGATTTACATCGCCCTCTAAATCCTACAAGCAATTCGTCTACGCAAGCGTATCTCCAATAGAGTAGTCTTGTCGACAATTTTTTACAAACGTCTCAAAAATCTAAAATATTGCAGTCGTTGCATCAGTTTTATTCCTCTCTGGTCTATCAGACGCATTATAAAAGCGAACGCTTCTAGAATAACCAGTGTTCGCTTCAAAGAGATGACGCAGCGGAAGATATCGCAGCTGGTGTCATCTGTAGCTAACAGTGCTTCAAAATCTTAATAATCCGATTTCGAGACTGAAGTTATTAGGGTATTTAAACCTTTACTGACCGGTATCTAAACTTTAAGCCTTTAAAAATTAATTGTAAACAAATATATATATAGACACATACGGATGTGACTGAAACAAAAAAGCACTGGAAAAAAGTTAATACGACTGCAGGTTTATTTTTTGTGAACCTTCACTATACCAAGCAATGAAATAATCAATAATAACCATAAAAATGCCTAAAAATGGTAATTTGCGTTAAAACTTATGAACTGGGATATTTACCTCAACAGAAGTACATATTAAGTTCCCTAGGAACGCTCGAAATTCTGATATTTAGATTGCTGTAATCGTATCTATCTACTAATAAGAACCGCAGCCTAATCTGCCACAACTTTCTTTTGTCTATTAAGTTATTTCGCTTAATAGCTTCAACGTGAACAATAGCTCTCAAGGAGGAAGCTTGGTACAATAATTTTTTCTCTGCTTTGCTGGTCAAGAATGCCTGGAATATGGGTATTTATGTTATACTTCCTTGTTCAGAAATTTTACTTTAGAGGTTCTGGAGAGTATTTAAAATTGTCCTCTCCAGAGTATGATTTGGTATTTGTCTTGTGCTTTTTTTTTTTGTAGTTGGCTGATCAACATCAGTTAAAGATAACTCATGTTAAGATTCGACGAGTTCATCTTTGGGATCACTCCCATGGTAACTAACGAAACCAAGTTTAACAATATCCCCTTCGTTCCCCACTATAATCACTTTCTAACTCATTTTAAATATTGTTGCCATTTCTTATAACCGGGAGATCATCCAATTTCATAGCACGTCCTGAAGACGTGGAAGCCATAACACAAATGGAGGAAATAACAGTAATATAGATGGGTGAGAGGGTTTGGCAAACTCTAAATTGGCTTTTTAGGGATATACTCCAAAATTAAAAAATTATTTCGTAGCATGAGTGTACTACACCAGTAGAGAGCGAACTGACTAAATGATACAAGACTGCGAGCGATTTCCCACTAAATATAATCATGTAGCGACATGTCTTAATTTCAGCGAGGTGACAAACCCCAACTCACCAGTTACGGGTTGCTAGGGCCTGTCCCTTTTTACTGTCAGAAGCTTAATACTTAATTCATACCCTTCATTCAAATGTAACGATTGTAACTGTGATTAGTGCTATTTCATTCTAGAAGCTACCTTTTTTAAGATTTTATGGTACACACTTAAAATTATAATTGAACATACGGCTCTGAGATCTGCTAGGGGAATAGAGAGCTTTTAAATTCAAGTTCAACAAGTTTCAATTTTGAGACGTTTTTTGTAGAGCTTTCTATAATTTTTTTAAGTTAAAAAGAAGTTTAACCCCCACAGTTAAGAGTGTTTTGGGTTGTGGGCAATGAATGTGTTGGAATATATTTTGTTTTAAATGTTTAAAATATAGTTGTCTCATAGTTAACTACTAAATTGTTCAGAAAAATAGGAAGAGGTTTCTGTCTTAGTTTTGTGAGTTTATTTTAGTTCGTATAACTTCATTGACAAGACAAAGAGCTAGCCCGTATGAGCAATACACCGAAAACTACAATACAACACCACCTGCCACTATCTTATCTAGGAAAGTCAAGATATGCAAACTTAAATTTATATTTTAATTTTGTGATATAATTAAAAAGAATATTCTTTTATAAAACTGACAAAACTTATGTTACTCTAATTAATTTATGAATTTACGTGCGATAAAAAGCAATTACATTTAAATAAACTAGTTTTACATTCAAATTATAAGGATATATATATATATGATTATTTATGAATCGCTACAATGATTTATAAGAATTATTAATTAACAAGCAACATACACAGTGAAATTTAAGTGAATAAATGCAGCCTGGGTTGCTGTTTAAATAATGGCGATCTCAATTTGGTCATCTTGACTGTTTTAATGTAAGAGAAATCAAGTAAACTTTAATAAGTGTTATTCTTATGGAAAACATATTTGTAGGCTGCTAGTTTCAAGGAACAGCTACACAATAAATATAGTATGAGGAAAAGGATTTTTAAAAGCGAGCGGCAGTGGTTTTAAATGGAAAACAGTAGGTTAGGATTTAACAACCAGACAAATAACATAAAAACGTTCTGGTTATAAAAAATATATTGGCATTAACCCGTCTTGTATGATCGAGGATCTCGGTAAAATGTTTATGAGACAGTTTTCCTAACAAATAGCAAATATTTTATTTCAACCTTTCTTTTCATTATTAATTACCTTTGTAAAGTTACATGTTATATTAGTTCTACTTCAAAAAGGCTTTCACTTAATTTAAGCACTTAAGTGATAGGAGCAATTTCTAAAGAAATAAGATAAATAGTTATTATAAAAAATTAATTAGTAACATGCTCAATCGTAAGCATATAAAAAATTAGAAACTAGAATGTAGTTATAGCTTTATCGTCACCCTTATCGTCACCCTTACATATATATTAATTTACAGCGAGAGTTTTTATATACCCCTAGCAACTTTATCATATATATTACTTTTCTAAATTTACTATTAAAAGAAGGTACAAGAAGTTTGGGTTGTATTTTATTAATAAAAATTAATAATATTGCCTTTATTAACTTCATAGCTTTCTTTGAACTACATTTAGATAATTTTATTGGTTGGGTATAAACAAAAGGTTCGGTTTTAGTCCGTAGAAGACGACTAGAAACTTCTTTATTATCGTGTTCCTTCCCAGAGGGTATGACAATGCCACTGCCACTGAAGGTAGTTATTATTAACTTGACAATTGGTAATTAGAAGAGTTGATAGTCTTTTGTGTGCAATAAACTTTTTGTATACAAGGGGTCAAAAGTGTTGAATTTGTGAAGGAAAGTTTTTCATCCCACCTATAGGGCTTTAGCACTATGTAGAGAATATTTTTTTTCTAACTTACAGGGCGTTTTCTGGAATCATCATTAATAAGCGAGGCTAATTGTAAGGTGACTTACTAGAAAAGAAAGGCATCCGGACTTCCAGATGAAGTTTGTTTTATCTTCCCTCAAAACCTCAGATATTTATGCATGTACGAAATAATCAACATTAAATAAAGGCAGATAATTGTGAGGTTTTACTAAAGCTTGTGAGTACTTACGAAACAGCTTTTTGCAAGGCTCTATCGCTGATTGCTTACTTAATTAAAAAGTTTAACTAGAAGCGATGGTTTATGAAAAAGTTTCTCAAAAAAGTTGTAAAGAATGGAATTCTGTTGATTACGTGGGACAACTTTACATTGAAAAGCTACTTAGTATCTTATATATCGTTTCTTATCTCTCGTTATAACCGATAAAACTAAAAATTTTTAGTCTTGTTCACTATTTAACGTTTGTCAGATACTAAAGCACGTCAAACTAATAAGTTAATAAACACTTAAAAGTTCTTATTTTTTTATTTTTATTTATAAAAGATAATTTATCTATAAAATAAAAAGTTGTTTAATAAATATTAAATTTCAACAGGTTTATTATTTGGAATTTTGGTTGTTTTGTCATTTTGTTATGGACTATTTGAAAGGTCAATGCCAAAACTCATCACCGTTTTTGCAATTGGCGCTATATTTAATGGTTTCATCTTATTGCCGCCGTGGCCGATGTACCGCACACAAGGTAAAATATGTGCCGAGCGTAAGGTAGCCATACTTCATAGCTGCAACTAAAGTTTAAATAGCTTTTAACTATTTATTAATTAGTTCTACTTTAATTTATCCATTTAATTTCTAAATTTTTATTAACCTATTTAAGGTGTTAATTTTCGCTCTAATTCCAAGAAACAAAGCTAATGCCTATTAATAGTATAAACCTAAGAAGGCAACTTCAATAAATTTGTTTAACTTGTTTAACGTTATGTTAACTGAACGACTATTTCGTTCGTTGTTATTATACTTGTGGAATGAAATCTGTCTATAACTCGGCCAAGCATACTCTTGGAAACATGCCTTTAATTTCTTAAAGGAGCCCTTTAGAACCTTAAAGGTATTAGGTAATTGGAATTTGAAGGAGATATGTGTTGAGGCTTAGTGGTTATGTGCTCGGCTCGAGTAACAACGCGTAAAAGTATTTGTTTTTTAAAAACGGCCTTCTTTACAAAGTTTAATTTTCAGTTTTCAAGAAAATTAAAAGGGCCTTTTTTTCACTGAGAAAGCGCTGCTCTCTACCCACTAAACAAAAATAAACTTTATACATTTCATAAACAAAGACGCACCGATGTAAGTGTGGCCTATTAGTAATTTTCTCTAAATCAAGTTACACTATTCTATTCACCTGTTTACCATCAACTGAGATAAATATTTTGCGCTTATTTGTTTTGTTTTTGACTGCGTTTGTAATACTCATAAGTGGAAGAATGCGGTGAAATATCTTAAACTGGATTTAATTATGCAACGTTGAGGTCTGTGAGGGCGGTCTTTGCTTAAACAAAGTTTGAAATAACTAACTTTTTATTGTTACTTAAGAAAGATAAGTTTACAAAGATGAGCCAAGAATTACCTTAATAAAAAATTCAAATTTTACAAATTAGCACCTTGAAGGTTTTTATAGTATAAAGGTAATGAACCATTTATATTTCTAAATACGCACTTCAATGTGCTATAAGTGAGAGAAGCATCTAAGACATTGTGACATGACCTGAAGTACTGTCAAACAAAAAATAAAACAAGCACTTTGATGCTCTCTGCAATACCATTTTAAATATAATTAACTTAATAAACAAGAGAATAACTGACAAAAAAGTTATATATATATGATAAAAAGTTGATAATGAAAAACCTATAAAGATATATGCTTACAATTCTACACAAAAGACAAAATCTTAAGATCAAGCTTAAAGGTAATACATCTACTATTCTTGTAGATTCAACAGGTATTTAACACGAGATTACCTAACGCTGGCCAAAAAATGTTCGAGAAGTGGTGTTTTCTAAGGTAAACACTTCTTTTGTCAAGTGAAATTAAATAATTTATTTGAATAAAAAATCCTATCAATTGTAGTAATAATAGTGAGGCTGATAGTAACGTATGGACTTTATTAAAATAATAGCTAAAGGAAAAAATGTTTTTTTAAAACTATAAATAACTAGACCTACTTGTAATTGGCCTAGAAATCTCCCCCAAATAATAATGCTGATAATATAATTTACCGTCTTTAACTAAACATTTTTGAACCTGGGCTCCATATATGAAAAATAGAAACCTAACACAAAATTAAAGAAGAAAATATTACTGAAATTAAACTAGGATCGTTACTTTAATATAATTTACCAGCCAAATTAATATCCTAAAACCCTGCCGATATTAAAAAGCACAATGTAAACTAAAATAAAAAATGGATATTTAAACCCGAAAAAAAAAAGTAAACATCAAGCTGGAAAACCTACATCCAGATTTATTATGTGAAACAAGGTTACAACATAACTATGATTTACAAAAACAAATACTTATTAGCAAAGGGAAAAAGGATCCTACTGGAACACAAAGTAACGTATAAAACTAATATGATTCCATTAAACTTTTAACTGGTTCGAATATTTATATAGGTTTAGTTAACTGTGAGTGTGAGCGGGTGTGAACATTCCTGATATCTATGCAGCGACTGTGATGTACGTCATCGTATAGCCTCTTTTTTTAAACTAGAACTTATTAAATAATATAATAATACCCTATCGAAGAAGGCTGCGTAAACCCATAGTTTACAAAACGTATTTATACATTTGTACCAGTTAAAGCACTATGCAATACATGAACGCTACTTGATAGGGACTATCATGATATCCTTAACTAAAGTCATTCAACCCTGGCTCTTCTTACGTAAACCCCGACGAAATTAACAAAAAATTTTTAATTCGCTTAAATATACAAACTTGCACTTACCATCATAACAGTAGCCTGAATTCATTTAGTAGCAAACATTTTAACTTTTAGTTACAGAAGTATAAAATTTTTTAAACAAACTTTTACTTATTAAAAAGGGTCAGCCAAAATGTAATTATCGTTCAAATCTAAAAAAATTCTGGCGCCACCTGCCCTTCTGGAGGGTTTAACTTGGTTTCTTTTACCAAGCTTTTTCGTGGTTATTATATTCCTTTAGTAATTCCAGGCAGAGAGTGTGTTTGTATAATACACCTTTTCGGTAAGTTTCTTGTTAGCGGTGCTCGCCTAATGTCGACGCCTGCTCGAAGAAGATTGCTTCGTGATTTTAAAAAGTGGCCATCTATTAATTTAATTTTTATTTATAGCTCGGACGCTTTAGTAAAATTTTATTCAAAGATTACAGGAGGATCCACCTGTAGGAGTAAGTGGAGCACCAAGCGAAAACAATATATTACTGTGGAACGCTGTCATTTTCGGGTATCTCCACGTAATTTTTATAAGTTACTATAAATTTGAGGTTAATATGATGTAGCCCTAATTTGTTTCGGAATATTAATTAGTTTCCATAGCCATATGTCAATGGCTTTTATTTAGTTTATATTTTTTATACCCTAACGATACCTTAATATCTTTTAAGTCCCTCTGAAACTCCTTTTGAAGATGGAACTTTCAAGTTAACTATCGAATTTTCAGAAAATTATCCTAATAAAGCACCGAATGTTCGGTTTGTGTCGGCCATGTTTCATCCAAACGGTATAAATAATACACTTTTTACAAATTTTTTTTTTCAAGTTAACAGCGTACTTTTTATGATATTCCATTCGAAAAGTATCTATACATATTTATTGAGTTAATATTTGTTAATCTTAGTGGATTTCCAATAATAAATTTTTCTTTTTTTACACGATAACTTTATGTACACAGTTGTGGGTTGTGCTCTAGTTATTTTTTTCTACTATTACGTAAATTTAATAGTTAGCCTAACCTTAAGAAGTTTAAACCTTAGTTTAACTTTTGCTTGAGGCATATATATGGAATAATTTTATTAATTACATTTTTGAGGATATGGAGATTGTCGTATTAGTTCACAATCATTTTTGAAATATTTATATATTGTTATACACTTTTAACTTTTTATAAGTTTTATTATATACCCAATTAGGAGCTAGATTATTACTTTTACTTATTGCCTTGTTTTATCTTTATATTAAGTATAATTTTGGTTTTTTTTTTAGTTATATTGTTCTTTCTTTTACCTTATAAATATTTTTAATGATAAATATATAATATCTCTATAGTAAGTTTACCTATTGCTATAATACTACGTTGTCATATATGTATCTTTTTATTGGTGATTTTATCGTCTATTTATACGGTATCTATAATGTTAATTACCAGTTATTATTATATATATTACATTGCTGTTATTAGTCTTTATTTACAAAGAAGTTCTACACGGTTCCTTTTTTTGATCAGCCCGAAGTGTATTAATTAGCAACTATAAAATATTCACAGAGACCTTTTTAGACTGCTGCTTGGGTAAGCTACATTCCTACTCCCGCTGATAGCAGCACGGATTCCACCCAGTAGTAGATTGTTCACGGCGTGTTATTGTTTTTGTTTATACCTTTATGCATCACATGCTTATACGTCTTTAGTTATGTAACAGTCTCAACCGCAATATTTTGTGAAGTTTATATGTATATTAACTTCATTGCTAACTTTTGAATTATCTTCTAATTTATTGCCCGCGATATTGAATAATATTAACATTATGAAGTTATATATCTTCTTATTCTTTTGTTATAATAAAGTTTACGCGGACGGAGCAATATGCCTTGATATTCTACAAAACCGCTGGAGTCCCACTTACGACGTTGCCGCCATTTTGACTTCCATTCAAGTAATAGTTTCATTAATGCATTTTTATAACATCTGGTATAATTATTAATATTTTAAATTTCACTTTTATTCATTGTTTTAGTAGCTTCTAATTTTAACTTACTATGTAGTCTCTTCTAGATGAACCCAACCCAAACAGTCCCGCAAACGCAACAGCGGCTAAGCTGTACTCTGACAATCGGAAGGAGTACGAAAGAAGAGTTCGAGCTATTGTGGAAAAAAGTTGGGCTGAATAAAGCTGGTCAAATATATTTTATAATAGAAAAAATTTAAACACTTGAAAACATTTTTTGGGTCCTCTTAATATATGTAAAAAGGGTGCGGTTTATATAGCTTATCTAAAACGCCATGTAGCTCATATAAAAAAGTAAGGTGGGCCTGATCCCACCTATGAAGAAGTTTTTAATATCATTAAGTTAAGAGTCAGTATATATTTGTTTCTCAGCTCTTTTAAAAAAACATTGTAGACAATACTTTTATAGGAATAGAAACAAGGCTCTGTTTATAAGTGGAATAAGTGAAAAAGACTGGGCCCTCCCACCTGTGCAGCGTTTAAAGGTAAAAGTTTTACATTATAAGGACCATGCACTTAGATATAGATTCCTAACTATTCTACAGATTGTTGTAAAAATTAGTGCAGCGTTGAAATTTTTATTTCTTTAGAAAGCACATAATATAGCCAAGAGTTACCTGTAGGTCTGTTTATCTTATAAAAAGCTCTATGTTTTTGATTTTGCGCAAGCCTAGAAGATTTCCGGTGGTTGTTACCAGATTACCTCAGGGGTGTTGGCACTACAAGCTTTTTTAAAATAATAAGTATTGCTGCGGGTCTAGTTAGCCGTACTTTCCGTTAGGGTGGTCTTCCAGGCAACATAAAAATTTTAATATCTTTTAATATTAACTCTAATTAGTTTATAAATTTCATAGTTGACTCCATCTTCTGAACTTCTCAACAGTACAGCTGGCGCATTACTATTTTCTTTGCTATTATCATAACTTTGGGGCAGTTTAAAAAGTGAAAAGTCAATCCTGGGAAAAAATCGGTCACAGTGAAACTTCCCTGGGAGACATTTAATAACAAAAATTATAAGTGAAAAGTAATTATAAAAAAACATTTTTTAATAAACATAAAACTTTGCATATAAGTAAATCTAATAAATAAACTCACTTAAAACTTATGCAAACAGCCAACAAAGGTAACTACTATATATAATGCTTTATGGCGCTTTATTATACATTGAAGCGAGAAAGCTTTTTTTCTTCTGCGCCCACTTTTATATGTCCACTTCACGACCAACAATCTACTAAAAGTGACTTGGTTGCAATCAAAACAGATGCAGAGTAAAAGTTTCTTTATATTAAGTTATTCTTGCTTATTTATTAATAAATAATACCTGAATTAATCTATCACTTTATGATAACAGTACACAACTTAGAATTGTTATCTTTATTAAAATATAAAGTAAAGGATCCTTTTTTTTTAAGATTTTATGCTTCATTTTAATGTCAATAAAGAAATAACAGTCAACTAAAAAAGTTTTATATAAAAAAATACTTAAAGCACAGAAAAATGATAACTGCTTTTATAATAAAGATATTAGGTAAAAAAAAATGTTAACCATAAACTCTAGTTATATATAAAGCGGTACACTGTGGCATCGCCAGCGCTTCCTTATAAAGCAAAGAACCCCCAATAACAAAAACATTTTCGATTTGAATGCAGTAGGGATCACTAATAAAAAAATATATGACATAAACTAAAGTAAACAGAGGAGAACAGGAAGATAAAACGTTGATAGAAGTTTTAAAGCGGACGAAAAGTCACGGCAAACCACGCTGTGTTCAGAAGGCAACTCGTTGGAACTATAAAATTTGTGGTTTACTCGTATAAAACGGTGAAAGTAAAAAGTAACTCGAGAGTTGAGCTAATAATAACATTCAATCGGCCGGGGAGGGGTCGAAACTTTTCAGGGATGGAGAACCACGTATGCCTCCCCATCACTACTGCATTCCGCTTTGCTTAAATTACAAAAAGATAAATAGAAATGGCATAGATTTTAAAAGGTAGACTTTTGTCCAGCGTCGAAGAAGTTTTCTCTTTAAAAAATTTTATATCACCCCTGATTAAAAATAGTTATAAAATCTATTTAACAGAATAGGTACTCTTTAAATATATTTATTTTGCTGGATAACTGTTAACTAGGTTTAAAGTCATCAGCAACAAATAATTTAAGTTAAACCTCGCAAAATAACTTATAAAGTTTTTTGAGAAAACAAAAAATTAGGGAAAAACTTACGAGAAGAACCATTCAGACAAATAAATATTAAAAAAAAAAAATTGCTTATCAGACTTATATGATAACTTTTCTTCATAAGAACAGAGCTTGTTTAGAATTCTCTTACTTGTTTATAATATACTATAAAAATAACTATAAAATATTATAAACTATAATAAATATTAAAATAAATAATTCCTAACAACTAAAAAATTTCAGTTACTTCAGCTTCCATGGTATACTGTTATTATATCCAATACCGCCTTCGCTCGTTAAGGCTACGATAATAGAAAAAGTTCTCATTTTTAACTAAACATTTTTTTATAAAAAATCAGTAAAAAATTAAAGTAAAATAGTAAAGCTATAAATTATTTCTAGGTGAGAAAGTCAACAAAATTACTAACAATCTAAAATTATACCGTTTTGCTTAGTAACAATGAAGCCGAAGTTGAGAAGACAACAGTAGCTAAATGGGTAAGAAATAATTATCCTCAGTGAAATCTATATGAAAGTGGGTAAAAATTATATTAATATTTTAGAGGAAAAAGGAATATTGGTAAAAGTTATACATTGTAGGACGTAAAAAGTGCTTTTACAGACAGCTAAACTATTATGCTATTAAAACTATAAATTTATAGTTGCCAAGGGTTACTTTCATAACTTAAAACATGCCTTTTTACGCTCTCCTATAAAGTAGTAAATGATAAGGGATATCACAGGTTTAAACAATAGGTTTATATTTTAAATGCACTTACCGCAATGAAGTTATATATATATCGATCTTCAGTTAAAGACAAAAACTGTATATATATGTATTAATACAATAACCCTTCTAAGAAAGGGGGTTAAGGCTTGAGGTGTTGAATTGTAAAGATTATAAACCACCGATTAAAACACCATTAATAATATTAATGAGAGCGAGGTTATGCAAAAGTCCAACTTCAAGCTTAAGTTAAGGTGTAAACGCTTATAAACGCTTAAACTATTACTGCTCAATTCCGGTTAATAATTTAGTATTTAACCTGTTATACACCTCTGCCTACCTTATCTTAGTGCTGGTACAACACCTAATACAACGAAACTTATACTCATGGTGCGTAGCTTAATGGTCGCTTTCAGATCACATTTGTGTCCAACTGTTTCTCTTTTTTGTTTTGTATATATATGTTGCAATTCATTTTATATATACTTAAGTACATAATTTATATTAACAAAGGTAAAAAAATTCAACTTTGTACGCAATAGAAAGAAGTAAGTTTAAATCCCTTTTGAAACCTTCAAATTATGGCGGTGGCACTCACAAACTAATTTTGGTGAGCTAGACATGGTTTTATTAAGTAAATACATAAGCAGTGACTGAATTTATCATTAGCTAGCTTTAAATTTTTTGTTCATTCTTTAAAATTAATATGTATTTAATGCCGGCTTCATGTATCAGCGATCAAAAGCTTTTAAGACTAGAGGTATGCTGACCTAAAAGTTATGTAAATAAACTTTTTCTATAATAGAGCTTTTTAAAAAAATAACAGGTAATTTCTTTACACAACTAAAAAAAATAATTAAATACTACCTTGTGAAGCTCATGCAAAGCTTTTCGTTGTAGTAGCAAGTCAAGTATGCTTCATAAATGTTTAAATATAATATAAATCACGAAGTACGCATACACTAGCCAGATACAATGAATCCAACAACCACGTAAAAAGGGGAAAAAACCCCTTTCGTGCTGAAGTTGTACCTCCTCTTCAAGTGCTTAAGAAATCCTCTTCCCTCTCCTCAGTATGTTGCACATCTCCATGGTTTTATCCTGAAACCAGAGTAACTGTGGCAAGCTTTAAACTGTTAGCATACGTTTTAAATTTTTTTAGCAGCTTTTATCAGGATAATGATCCATATTAGTGAGGCCTATCCTTTTTACTGGTTATCAAGAGTTATATCGTAATCTCTATTTAAGTTTTCCATTTTGTATTTTTCATTGTTGACAATGTAGCAGTATCCATTACAGATTGGTGATAGCCCTATAGTAAGATGTCGGGTGTTAATTTAGATAAAATAAATAGCCTTGCCAAATCTTTAAGTCGGAGATAGCGATGTTCGCTCTATTACGCATTCTTCTTTTATCTTGTGGTGTTGAATAAAGAGCTTTTTTTGCTATGAGGCAAGTTTGTTACTACATAGGTGCAAGCCCTAAGGTATATGTATATCAATGGCTCTTTTAAGTTTGACCTAAGGAAAAGTTGTGATTACGTTGGCCAAATATATGGCCATGTTTTTCAGTTTAGTTATTATGACGAAAATGCTAGAAAAACTCCTGGCAAGGACAGGGGAGTTGTTTCTCAATAGCCCATGCCTTCTTGCATGTACCCCCTGGCATAAAGCGTTCCTTTGTAGCGCATTTCGTGCTTAATGTGTTGTGTAATTGCTATGCGGTTAAAAGCTCTTTTGTGTTTCCTGGTAATTCTGACTAGCGTACTACGGTAAACCATTGTTTAATTATAAAGTCGAGCTCGGCTGAGGCTGCTCGTTTGTAATAATTCCTATCAAGTTTTTCCATTTCTTCTCTGTAATCGATAGTGAGGAGTACTCGATTGTCAATGCGGGAGTAGTCATTGCTAGCCCTTTGGCGTGAGTGGTTAGACCATTTTTTTTGATTTATGTATTCATTGGCTAGTTTCCGGTTTTCCTGTTTTTGGCTTTTCTTTATGGTTGGAGTGCTGGTTGAGAATAGTTTCTTTGTCCAGGGGGTGTTTAGTTTGGTGGGTTCAGTGCCAAGTAGGGTGTCTATGTCTATAGCTATTAAGATTCTCTGTTGTCCGCTAGCAATGCTTGTAGATGGTGCCTATGTTGTTATACTTTTATTGTAATTAAATTAAGAATATGACCTTTTAAGTTATATGTAATTTTTGTTTTGAGTCTAAGTTTTTTCTTTATTACAATCTTTGCTATTTTTTTATGTTTCTCTGTTCTCTTTCTGTTTCCAGTTTATCGTCGCTTGAGGAAGGCCCGACGACTAATAGTTGTTCATAGTTGTCCGTTGTTCATGTTATTGAGTTGTGTCGCCAGTTAGTTTGGTTGCATATTGTTTTCTTGGCATTGTGAGTCTTTATGTTGTCAGCAGGGTGTGTATGGTTTTTTTGACATACTGTGGCTTTAGCTGTTAGTCTACTTCTATCTCTTCTGTAACGGGGTTATTAAAACTGTGTTTGGAGTGGGCGTGACCCCTCACTTTTTCTGTTTTGGTGGTACTTGATGGGTGTTTTTTTAAGTAAAATTGTTCAGTTCGGTGACTCAGTGAAATTAATTTATGGTACCTCCTGTTCGTGGGTATTTGCTTGATTGATGACCATGGTTTTGGTGTTTTTCTTTTGGTCCGTGGGGTTTGTTTTATTTCCTTATATAGTTGATTGTGTTTTAAGAAGATTCCCTCTAGCAGACTATGCTTCTTGACCTAATTATTCTTCCGGTGCTAATGTTCAGTTTTTATATACATTTACTTCGCGGGGGACTGCGCTAAAAATATTATGCTCTCTATAATGCAATTATAAGACTTAGTTTTATGTTGAGAGTTATGCACGAACACTCTACATTCAATAAGTTTGATATCTCCCTCTTAATTCCAAGAGTTTGATTAGGGGTAGCCTGTTCAATATTTTAGGAAAATATATTTATTTAAAAGATTGTGCTGCTCATAGCTTTATTTCAGATCCGGATGACTTTAGTAGATGTAGGGGCAGTCCACTGAAAGCTATACAAATGACTTAATAAAAAAAATGTTAATAAGTACCAAATGTAAACAAAGAAAGGTGGTATCTTATAACTGTAAAAAGGCTGGTCATTTAACAAATGATTGAGAATATAATAATAATTTTTTTGAACCCTATTTCTTCATAATAATTTAAAGGTTTACAAAATACACAGAAACAAAAGTATTATTATAGTTAACGAGATCATGAAATAGGTAAATAGGCTACTGATATTTATAATATTATTAGATTCTAATGCGGAAGGAAATTTATTAGTGTGCCCACTGCAAAGTCATGAATGAACGAAATTAACAAAAAGTAATACATTACACCTTATTGGAAGAAGTGAATTAAGAACTCCATATATCGTAAATCGCCCCTTACCTAAGAATATTGACTTAGTAATGAGTAAAAGGATAAAATAAGTTTGGTATTGAACTAGTCGATTTCTCTAATTACCACTCAAATAAAAATAATAATAAATTACAAGAAATTAAGTTTCGTAAACAACCAGACGAAAATTATATTACAGGACTTCGATGAAGTGAAATGAATTAAGAGTGCCGCGGAAGCCAAAAATATTTTTAAAAACCTTAGAAAACTGAGATGAAGGCGTGCCCGTGGAGATGCTTCGAAAATTAGCCCTACGTTCAAACCTCGATAAAAGGGTTATGAAATTTAAACCCCCCAGATAACACGAAAGAGGAGATGAACGTAAAAAGGTTTTTCTAGAAGAATGTGAACACTAATTAGAGATAGGCATGCTGAAACTAACGAACGACCGAGAATGGAATCTTATTCAGGTAGTAGTAGAAAAACATAAGATGGAAAATTTCTACTCATCATTACGGGTAGATTGAATGTTATAGCTGACTTATTGTCAAGATTAGCGAGCGCTGATATGCAAGTAGAAGGGAATGAAAATAAGCAAGTATGTGTAGCGCGTACAAAGGAAAATGAAAAAACTACATACCTTAACAAAGATATGTTACATAAAACTTTAGCCACTTAGGCATATCTAAACTGAGTTTTATAAATGGAGAGAAGTTTTTCGGGAGACTAGTGGCTGCAACGGATAATTGGATTTGTTTTAAACGGACGGGCATTTAAGATTCATTCCAAAGGCCCACTTAAGAGAAACTGTTAATATAACAATATTATTAAAGGACTCCAGAAATACTTGTAATCCTAATAAATCTATTTTATCCGCTTGCAAGACGCTGTACTGCCAAGATTATAAAAATAAAATGATAATGAAGTTGGGATGTTTTTACAATGTTTCCAGAGGTATAGGCAAGTATAGTTAAAAAGGGGGGATGTGCAGTTAGAGTGTGTATTGGGTATCAAATTATAAACTGCCATACCAGATAGAGACACATGCATATCCGAAATTAAACTATTTTGTTAACGTATGTAAGCCCTCTCAAGGGTAGTAGCAGTCTTGTGAGTGCACGGGAGAAAAGAACTTTAACCCGTCCGATTTGAGGAGTCAAATCTCCAAGAACTTGGTCGATGGGTGGCCAGGTTAACCCATTACTCCCCCCTAGAACGAAACAGTCATGATACTCCTAGAGATGTAAGGGCAGTTGCGCTCGAATAAAGATGTAAGCGGTCTGCGGTCGACTTACGAGCATCCGCAAGGGGTTATTAATAAAAAAAAAGGAACAGCCTTTTTGGTTTTGGGCCTCAGGGTGAGCGTGTGAACCTTAGTTTCATCTTCAGTAAAGCATCTCGTTTTATATCTTCTACTGATTACAAAGGTCTAATTGATACCACGTGAGGGCAAACACAGCACAAAGTAGTTGTAAAACCCTTGTAAAGAGCGCAATCATTGAAGATGTCATAATATAGGCTAAAAACAAGTGTGCAAATCAGGATTCTGTATAAGTTACAGTAGGAGCTGCGTATGACAAAGTATGAACTAAAAATAATTATTTCTATAAATGTCGTATACCGTTATAAATCTTTACTTTCTACTTGTAAAGGAGAGACGAACATCTACGTGTCCCGTTTAATATAAAATAAAATAAGTAAGAGCAATGAAATGCAGCTAAACTGGATTAAGTCCTATATTTCTTACCAAAAAGTTATAAGATAGGCTAAAGTTTTTCTAGTTCTTTAGACTGGTTCTGAAAGCAAAATGTCATACACGATAATGATGGCTTAATTAGAAATTATTTTTGCCTCGCTAACTTAGCATTAAACGGCTATTTATTACCTGGCTCAAATATCTAAATTTAACTTAAAATCTTACTTCAAATCTGTAAAATATGACTTTATGGAATCTAGCGGAAGTCTTCATTACTTATAAGAAATTATAATACAAGTTAACTGACGTGAGTAATACTAGGTAAGGTACCCTAAAAAACTATATAAATAGCGTGCGTAATATATTTATTAAAGATAATTTTTGTTTTTTGTCTCATGAGTTGTGTTAAAGGATGGTAGAGCAAAATTAGTTTTTTATTACAACATTTATATAAATTAACTAAAATTTCTGTATTAGCTAAAATTGCCACGAGCTCTCACTTCGAAGTCTTTGAAGAAAAAAATTTTTTTTTTGTGTATCCATTAAGTTCGATCACTACCGATTATGAGAAATAAAATTTCAAAAAGTAGTATGCTTAAAGTACAATAAAGTCAAACAGTATGTACCAACTTACGTGCAAGGAGCTCCTCTAGAGTTAGAGAACACAGCCTGAATTTACAATATTATTAACACTGCTGATAATATTTATAGCAGCGTCGAGCAATTCGGCTCCACTAAGTTCTCGCCCAGGTATGGAAGGTAACACCTCTGCTAGCGCAGCAAATAGATGCCTCATATTTTTGTGAAGAGGACATATGCCGCATTTTTCCCTTTTTTAAAATTAAAATTAACATGGAAACACACAAAACTATTAAAGTTAACTACGTACTCCTTCTTAAGAGCTACTTGCGTGCTGCCAGAGTATTGAGTTTTTACCGTTGGTGGCCACCTCTCTGGTGACCATACAATTTCCACTGGTCTACTGCCATTCACAGGTACACCCACTTCCTTGTAATGTTGGTGCTGACTTTGCTGCGAGCCACAGACGTTTACGGGACGCCCATTCATACTGCATGACTCTCTTGTCACGGTAAGAGGGGCCTCTTTACCCTCCGCAGAAAAGGCGTCGGCAACGCCGTTAAAAGATGCTGGTCTCTGTAGAGACGTCTGCTGGGTTAAAGGGGTCTGCGTTACGAGCCGAGTGGGTGTTGCGGTTCTTTTGTTAGGCTGGTAGGGGGATATAGTTATGCCTTCTAGCAGTTGCTCATGGGGATCTTTTAATTTGAACTTGGCCGCCTGTGTTTTTTCTTTTTTACTTGTGACATGTTCTCGTTTTTTGATCTGACTTTTACTTCTAAAATAAAAGTTAAGGCGGCCATTGTTTTGCTTTCCAATCTCTTCCGCATCTTCAAGAGGGGCCAAACTTGGGTATCAAATAAGATGTATGTTGCTCTTGATCCCGTTTTTCACGGAATCGTTGCCTAAAATATTAAAATACCATTATATCAAGCTATTAAATATCTGAAGCGTAGGCCTTATAATTATAAATATAGATACCGACATAAAAAAACTTGTAGAGCTTATAATGAAACATACCTTCTGTTCTGGAACCAGTAACGTATAGTTCTTTCACAAAGTTTTAGATTGCTAGACAGTACTTCCCTCTCATTTCTGTCCGGATTGTGATTCCGAAGAAAGGCCTTATTAGTAAATGTCAGATCGGTTCTTAAATAACCAATATTAATTAGCAATTTCAGTACGTTCTCTAAAGCCGCAAGCTGATGTGTTTTAAACTGTGTTCGTAAGCGTTTTTTAGCTCCTTTCACACTACATTTCCCCTCGTGTCGACTTTCATCGCTGGTCTCATTGGTTTCATTTTCCTCTATCTCAGATTCCGCCAAACTGTTTACTATCGCAGAATTGTATTCCTCATTTCTATCAACGCTAGTAATAGAGCAAGTACTGCCTATAATTGTCTGTCTATTAAAGGTTTCTTCAAATTTACTTTCGTTCTTATTGTACACAATACTATTTTCAAATCCGTTAGTTTTATTTTCACATAAATTTTTATTTAAATCAACATAATCATCTTGTAGATCCAAGTCATTTTTTGTAGCTGTTAAAATGCTGAAGGCCTTATTAACTGCTTTTTTAGTATTATAAACTGGGAATGTTTTATCATTAGCAAAGTTTTGCAAAGAGCATGATCTTAATGGGCTGGTGCTATCTTTGTGTTCACTCTCTTTATCAGCATGTTCCATGCTTATTGCTGGCTTTCCTAAGGTACTCACGGCTGCCATCTCAGCATCTAGTCGTTATAAATTTTTGAATAAAACTTCACATGAATATCTGAATAACTTAAAGAAAAACATATTTTCATAAACACCAGAAGGTATAAAACAAATGAATACTCTATTTTATTAAACATTGTCAAATAAAAGGGCGAATAAGGTAAAGAACATTAATAATTCTTTCCTATTATTATAGCATAACAGTAAAAAATCATCTTTGGTATTTACCTAATACTACTTTACTTTTCCTAAAACTTTTACTTACAGAATTATAGTAATTTACTCCATACACAGTATAATAGATTATTTAACTACATAAATATACAAAATTATAGCATAACTAATGTACTTAAAAGAAAGGTGCAATTATATATTGACCTCATTAAACTCCTAGAGATTAAAGTTCTTATAAACTTTGCAAACTCACCTTTTATAATATTTACCCAAAAAATTAAATATAACGCTACCTGAATTTTTAAAGGGGTAATATTATATGTATAACAGCATACCTATGTTAAGTTGAGAAGATGCAAGAGTTTTACTATATTTATCTTCATTGACTTCCTAACAAATAACTAATCTATCTTTTGCCTATTAAATATAAAAATTACTGGTTAAGTCGCTATTAGATGCATTGTCCATATTAAGAAACATAAATATTAGTGGGTAACAGTAGTATAGTTACGTGAGTAGGACCATCTCGGTAAAACGTAAAAGTGGACACACGCACACGCCTTAAGGGCTAAATTACTTTTGCGTCCCTATACAGGTGACAGAATTTTTTGAATAGAACAAAAAGTTGGCTATTTATCATACATTTGTTACTGGAGAATTTTTGCTTAGTTTCGACATTTTTTTTTAATGTTTGGTTGTCGAAAATAAAGGTTTATGATAGTAAGACCTTTCTACTTAAATTAAATTAATTTTATAAAAAATATTAGTAATATCGTTACTTCGAGAGAAAGTGTGCTCTAATAGGTTCGTGGTAAGAGTTAATCATAAAATAATTTATTTGGAGGGCTAATGGTAAATTTTTATATAGAACTTTGTATTTTATTTTAATACAAAGTATATAAAAAATCTTATTTTAAAATATACTGTTTAAATAAAGTATCTTAACCTGTTCAAAATACATTTAATGAAACTTGTTAACTAAATATTTTTCATGGTTGTCCTTTAGACTACTAAGCTATCTATTAACTTCCACTATAACGCCCTCTAGACTAAACTAATACCTATATAATATCGCTTGCCCTCTAAACTAACATAAAACTTAAACACTCAAACCGCGGTAATAACCGAAGAAGAAAGAAAGAGCAAGAGAAAAAAAAATAGACTAGTCACCCATGTGTTTTATTAAAAATTTATATATATACTATATATGTTAATCAATTGATTTAATAAGGTACTAATATATATAATTAGTTACCCTCAATAACACAAATTAAAAATTCGTGCTGTGAGATAATTAAATTCTAAACATGCACCAAATAAAATTTGTATATTATTATGTTCACAACATGGCTGTGAAGAATTGCAAAATATATTTTTATTTGTATTTTAAACGGAGAATAAAACAATAAAAAAGTGTCTTAAAAACTGTAATATTAAAAATGTACCCTGCTAGTATTTTACTATTGCTTTCTTTAATCACTTTCAACTTTATTATAATTATGCCCTTTTCAGTAAACTTATGGAAATGGTTTTCTTTATAAAAATTACTTAACAGTTTAAATAAGTATAATAATGACTGTTTTAAGTTAGTCTGAAACTACAAAGTGAAGTTCATTCTAACAAAGACATTTCGTTAAAATGCAATTACCAGAAGAATTTATTACCACGAAATTTAGATGTTCACATGGCCAAAGTCCACATTATCACTAATTTAGTAGCAAGTTAAACGTCTTATAACTAGACTAGTTCTTTTAACGTGAGTAAATGTAAATAAAACTGCCGATTATTATGTTTAACTGTGTTTTGCCTTTTTTTTAACTGCTTTAATTAAACTATATTTAGTTCATTCATACGTTTTCCTTACTTTTAATACTCTACTAATAACTTGTTAGGGATAAACTTTAAAACGTACTATTGATCTCTACAATCAGCTTGCGAAACTTAACACAATTGCATATAACAAGACGAATATATATATAAGTATAAAGATGCACGTATATAAAAAAAAGGTATTTCAAATAAAATTTCAATAAAATGTTATAAGAGATTATAATAACACTGGCCCACCACTGTACGCTCTCTGGAGAGCTATAATGACTGCCCCGAAGGACTGAAAAAGCGGAATCATGCCCGGACTTCCGCCATCCTGCCTAGTGTGGTGGAAAACAGTTAAAAAAGTCACATTGGAAAGGCGGCCTTAGGCGCAATAACCGAGGTCACCTAGAGACACCGGCCAGTCACTCCTCTGCCAGCCAGACCCCCCTATTACAAGTTATTTTATTTATTTATAAATGACAGCTCCTGGTGCTCGATCGAGTTAAAAACTTCGAATACTCGAGTGAGCGCAGATATATTACAAATGACCTCCAGGGTGCCATTAATAAATTCTCTCACCAGCGGGCGATTGGTGTGCCTGGTGAGCTTGTCGTAAGGGACTACACCAGGACTTTGGAAGGCAACGTTTAAAGGGCCCAGTTGAAGGCCCCGGTGAATTTTGCACAAACCTCGGTGCCTTTGGTAGAACACGCAGCAATTTGTTCTGTCACACTTGAAGTGCCGGCGCTATCGCCATGGAACCGTGAGTCCAAGCAGCAGACGCGTATGTCATTAATGCTGGATGTAAGACAGATACAATTGCCGTTTGTCTCGCAGAAAAAGCTTACTCTTTCCGCAAGATAAGGGATAAAGAGCCTTGGTTGCTGCCTTGATCTTCGCCACTACATAATCCACTGAGGCTGCCAGGAAAATATATTGTCGATGATGATTCTCTAGTATTTCGCTTGAGAACAGCATGGAATCTTCATGCTATTAAAGGTTAAGGCATCAACAAGTGGACGCATTTCTTTGAAACTAATATAGCTCGGCTCTTCATCGCATTTATAGTAACCTTCCAATCATGGCACCAGACAGTTAGGCGTTAAGATAGCGCTGTAAATGCTTGCATAGCAAGGCGGGAGACTTGGAGTTATTTTATTATAGTCAATTAAGCCATTTACATATCTTTGTAAAAGGTTAAAAGAAGCACTTCCATTTATGTATAGTTGTTTAGATAAAATTTAAAAATTAAATGTATGTAATTTGGTTCCGTTTAGAGATCAATAATTACCAAATTTGTGTATAATAATATTTGTTTAACATAGTCCCTGCCAAATTGTTTAAGGTTTGCGTTATTATAAAAATATGTTTATAATATTTTTAATTGGTTTATCTTTTAACTATTATTTCTAATTGATTTATTTCTGTTTAGGTATGTGTATTTTTAATAGTTTATCAACCGGTTTATCCGTCCTTATCTCTTTTACAAATACATTTAATTATTTCCATATATTATAGTTGTCTATTCATACCAATCTGCAATTTTTTTGTATATATACAATATAGTGTATTATTTTCTTATTTGCTTTTTATGGAATTAGTACAGTAAAACTAGAAGCAGTTCTTACTGATCTCTTTTTAATTCATTTTTATTTTTGAAAATTTGTTCTGTGTTTTTGTGTCTCATGTTTTGTGTTTTTTTAGAATCCGTAAATTCTTAGAGCTAATTGATAGCATTAGCTTATTATTTCTGATCAAACTCGAAACAGTTGGTTATAAAACGCCATTTGATTTTCTTTATCTAAAAACTTATACCATCTATTCAAGGAAAAAATCATAAAAGATTGAAAATTTTCTAGCTATTATCAGCAGTTCTGAAAAACTTTTAAGTGCCCTTATTATTCGGTTGTGTAACACAACATTACTAAACCTTAAAAAACTTTATTTATAACAAGAAGAGCCGGAGCAAATGAAGAACTACTTTTCTCTGAGCACAAGGATACATTAGTACTCTTTAGGCCAATGAAATCAACAAAGCATAAAGCAAGGTAAAGGTAGTTAGTTTAATAAAATATGACACGCCCTGTAAAACAGACTGGTAAGTACTAGTTCAAGGAGCGCATCTAACAAAAAGCGCTTCATGCGGGGTTGCCAATACTGTGATTTCCTCAAAATCCGATGCGACTGCCATCAGAGCTCACAGTGTTCAAAGTTACTTAAGTGTCGATCAAGAAAAAAAAAGGAGTTCACCATAAATTACAAATATTTAATATTTTGGCTCTCGATTAGCTTAAGGTTCTTCATCCAAGAAGGCTGCTTATATTTAATCATAATTGAAAGATTTTTTTTCTTAAGTTTTACCAAATACATCAAAGCTTTAAGTCCCTTCTCTTCTTTAATTTTGTTTTAGGCACCATGGAAGGAAAACCCCATGCCGGCAACTTATATCTTACATGTATTATAGGAGGGTTACTATAGTGGTCTAAAAAAGGCCTACGTTATCTCCAAGCGATTTATAGAAAAGTATATATTTTACTTTTCTTGTTTCTGTTTTCTCCTGCTTATCAAGGAAATTTTCCCGAACTTGTGTGTAAATGCGGTCAATTTTTTTAAATCCAGTATAAACAGTACACCGAGAAGGGTTCTACAAAGAGAGTACAGCACACAGCGCCTTCCTTCTCCAATTGTTAACACATATTTTTTATGTAAAAATGACTCAAAACATGAATCAGTCTTTAAATTAGTTTAAAAGCTAGTCATAGATACTAAAATTAGTGCTATAAAAAATTTTATGAGTAAATGTTAGTCTTGGTAAGTTGCAAAAAACATCTTTTTGTTTATAATAATTTACAGAGTTTTAGTGCACATAGCAAAGTTATGAGCGATAATTTTATAATGAACAATTATTAGTGAATGGAGATTTCCTGGCTATGAGTTATGATATAGAAGCTATTTTAAGGGAAGGACTATTCAATTTTAATTTAAGGGAACTAAGAAAGACTTATCTATTTATTTAAGCTATTTTGAGTGTTGCCATACCTCTCATTACAGATATTCCTTAGTAATACTATCCACAGTAGTGGCTAAATATAGAGTAAATGAAGTACCCACCGTGGAAACCATTTATAAATTATTCGAGATATATATAGATATATAATATTACTAATAAGACTGCGCCATCTACACAGTTCCAGGCCGCACTAAAGAGCGGTGACCATAATATCATTTAATTCTTGTCGGGGGGATTGTCGTTTTTAACTATTATGGGACCATGCTCAATTAAAAACCTTATGATAAGCACTATACCCAAACTGGTTATTCATATTATCCTTTTAACGGGCAAAACTCTGGGGCTTAAAATAGATTTGTTTTTTTCTGCGAAATCACTTCCTGTGTTAAAATTATACTTTAAAGTTCAATATTTATTTTCAAAATTTGATTCTATGTATCCCAATTAATTTTTTAAAATAAAAACAGTGAAACAAATGTTTACTTACCTACCTAACCAAAAATAAACCTTACGTCCAGAATGAACACTTTTTTTTGTCCAATAAAAAAACGCGTGGCACATGCTCAACTTAAACGTTCACTGGAACTAAATTTACCACTTTTTTGTTTTGTTGGTTGCTGCCTAACGCGTTAGAATATGGTACTCAAACGTACCAGAGATCGTTTTAGGGACCGAGTCTGTCGTTTAGAGTCAATTCTGTAAACCTATTCTTTTAAAGTGAATCTAGGCGACAAGCAGTAAGATAGTAACCAGTAACCTATAAGGGGTTAACGGGCAGAGTGGCACGTAATGCTGGCCAATAAGGCTAATCTTGCCCACCACATTAAATGGTCCGCCTTAAGATAAAAACAAACAATTCTTGTTATACCAATTCTTAGTGATTATTAGTTGCGCTTGGTTTTGTTAACTTTGGTATAGTCAATTGGGTGACTATGTGTTAAAAAAATTGCTGCGGCTAATCCATATACACGTAGAATGTTTTTACAAAGTCCGTTTGAGAAAACTTTAGGTAAAAATCTTCAACTAAGTGGTTGAAAGATCATTATACTTTGAAAACTTCTAGATATTGCGGTTTCCAACTCTTTTGGAGAGCCAGACTATGCCATAAACACAAAACTATGTGATATGGTTAGACAAGGGGAGACCAAGTATTATTTTATGAAATTAATTATTTATTAACTATTGATTATCTTACATATACTTTGACTCAGACCGGCCATAGCGCTTAAAGCCATTAGTAAAAAGTTTGTACATAAAGATGTCAATAAAACTCTACTAGCCTTAACGGTTTAGAATTTACAAAGTACTTTAGGCAACCGTAAGGTATTTTTATTTTTCAAAGGTTTTAGAAATGTTAGTAAGCAATTGTGGAACACTTTTTGCTAAAGAATTTTGTTCAGCTAAGAACGTTGAAATGTATAAATCTTGGCTCTTGCTTTACGTACACAATGTTCGACTTCTTTAAATTTCACACATGGCCAACTGTTTTTTAGGAAGGCAGCAACGATCTTGTAGTTGCCAGAATTTTGACTTTGCTTCAAAACACCTTGGCTGGCTTTTCAGTTAAGCTATTTAATACTCTCTAGTGCCTTTTCGTTATAATATCGTAAATATAGGGAGAACCTTTTTTAAGCCCTCTCTCTGAATTGCGCGATTGTTTACTTTCCTTCGGTTCTAACTTTACTTCTTGTGTTGTATACGATATTCAAGCCCTCTTACTTTACATGAATTACTTAACTTAAGTTTATAAAATTACTTTACTTTTTTTTTGAACCTTTGTTATTAGGCTACGCTTTCCCCAGGTCAACAGTTAAGGAAGGCTCCTACAAAGTTACTGAGGCAAGTAATTAAAGCCTTTTAAATCTTACTTTTCATAAAATATACATAAATAAGCCACCGCCCTGGGAAGATTCTGCTTTTTGCACCAACTGCAACTCCTCTTTTTCAGCTTTTAATAGAAAAGTAAGGGCCCTCAGGGTTTTGGGTTTTTTCGAGTCATTAGTTTTTTTATGTTATCCTTATTATATATTTTAGCACCATTGTCGTAAGTGTGGGCGGTCCTTTTGCCAGCTGTGCTCGTCAAAAAGATGTCCTGTACTGGCAATTGGATTGGAAAATCCTGTAATTTCTCCTTGTTAACTTTTACTGTTGCCTTTAATTAAGCATTCGAGCTCTTTGCTTAATTATTATTTTCAGGAAACTCTTATAATTTCAAATGATGCGCTATTTCTTTCTATAAGGTTCGGGTGTGTGACAGTTGTTATAATCAGTTGACCGACAAACAGACACCTTTGGACACCAGTAGTGTCCACCGACCTTCGCTGGTCCCCTTATTTGCTTCTTCTAAGTACTGAAACCAATTATTCTACATTTATACAAGGAAGAAGACGACCACAATGACGAACAATTAGCTCTTGCAATTGCAGAGTCCTTAAAGCTCCACGAACTGGAACAGGTAATCGTTATTCGCTCTATAGAAGTGTGCTTGGAGGTAGCTTTGCACTCTTTATCGAAGACGCGTCACTCCCATGTTAGCCCTGCAGACACCGAGAAGGAAAAGCCTAACGAAATTCCCACGGCGTACCAAGCTGCTGCTGAGGCTTCCTCGTCCCAGACAGCCGGATCAAGCCGGGCCCGGGAACCCAATGATGTGTTTGAACTATTTGTTACACGGGCAAAGCCAACTCTTCAGTTATATATGAAGAAACTGCAAGACGCCCATAGAAGTCATAGGAATGTCGTGCTCGACAAGACCATCCAAGTCTTCTTTTATATCTGCTTAAATTGACAGCATTTCTCAGTAATGACTTCTAGTCGTTGCACAAGTCGACTATTGCCCTGCAATCCCAACTGCTAGACTTAATGGAATCCACAGAATACGAGAAGCGTAGATCTATAATTGTTGTTGTTTTTGTTGTGTTCACTGATATAGGGAATAATAGTTAAGCTTTTGGAAGTCTCGCAAAAGATTGAAACCATCGTGAAAGTGCGGAAGTCGATTCTCGAATTGAAGCGACAGCAAAAGGCACACGATCTCGCATGAGCCACGCTGTCACTATATTTACCTTAACTACTTTAGGAGGAGCAGGAATTACTGCAGCGGATCCAGCTGGAGCAGAAGCTTCGGCTAATCCAGCAGCAGGAACAGGCGCTGGCGCAGTACAACCAACAGCAGTGCTATGCAAGCCCATCTCATACCGTCTCCGGGCCGAACCCCTACTTTTCTCAGCCATGTACCACAAGCTCTTTGCCGTTCTATCAGTACAGCCACTCTACCATGCCGAATCCACGTGCACAGTATTACGGCGAGCAGGTCATCCAGCCCCCCCCTCCAACCCCTGTTAACCAAGATGAAGAAAAAAAGGACAGCAAAGGGGCATCTTCGAGTATCGATGAACTTATTTCTTTTTAAAAATAATATAATTCCATTATAATTAAACTTGATCCGCCGTGAGGAGCTTTTTTGCTTTCAAAAGACTTTTAGCTCTTCTTTTACACTATTATAGTTTCTACAATTTTATATTGAGTAATACTTCTAAAAAAAGCACCTGCCGCTTGGTTCTTCCAGGAAATTGACTCGCAATATCATTCCATTCAAGTGCGTCACTGCCTGTGGCTATAGAAACTAAATGTGATAAGTTATTGAGGGTGTGTCGGAAGCCACCTTATTACAAACTCACCCATCGCATACAACTTGTTGTCCTCTTCTGTAGTCCAGCGGGTCCCTGCCGCGTTTAGAACCTCAACGTACCTCTCTCTGTACATATTAAAGCGAAGAAGGTGGAGAGTGGAGTGCCGCACACCTGCACTGAGGGCCTGTTCGCTCCGGTATGCACTTCATGTTCTCAATGAGTTTCCATTTCTTTCCTATATTTGGTTTATAACAATTATATTTTCTTGTTTCCTACTATCGTACCAAACTTTTCGACGGCAGCGTTGAGCTTTGCATCCTCCTCTTTCGTCCACTTCCCCTGCCATGCACAGTGTAAAGCAATACGTCCGACAGTATCAAGCTAATACCGGCTTCTTGGGCTTTATTTTGGTGTAACGCTGCATGCACTGCTGCACGCCTTTTCTTTCAAGTGCTTGTGTAACTAAAGAGAAAGTCAGGGTGTTTGCAAAGCGTTATAAGCGTAAATGGCATGAGAACTTTCAAGCCAGGAGTGTCCTTTTTCATAGAGTTGAAGCAGAAGGGCGTCCTGTTCAGCCGTCCATGAGCTGCGAGCGCTCATTAGCATTACGAATTTGTTAATCCGTTTTTTGGTCGCATACTTGTCCTCAAGCTCTTTGTTTAAGCATCTCTGGTACTTGGCAAAACACTGCACCGCTCTGCGATTGGTCTCAATGGGAAAGTACTCAATAGTCACACTTAGATATATACATCTATAGTATTGTTTACTTGAAGTTTTCGAGCTATTTCGCTCCAGTTTTGATAGATGTTCCCATTTACCAGCTCAGTGAGTCTAGACTCCTCCTCCCGGCTCCACTCCTTTTATAATTAATATTAGTATACTATTATAGTAAAAAATTTAGTAACTTTTTGTTTGTTGCTGGATGGTGGTTGTTAAGCCATTCAATTTTGCAATCCGAAGCAGATTTTTCTTTTCTCATCTGCATATAAATAGTAAAAATTTTTTTTAGTAGAATTCAACAAACATTCTCCTGACTTAACTTCGGTTCGTATATTTTAACGAAAATAAAGCCTTATAAAAAATAGCAAGACTTTCTAAAAAGTATCATATACAGCTATTTACGAAAAATTAATAGAGATCAAATAATATAGGGCAAAGATGTAGATTTAAATAGATTTATAGCGAAGACTTAATCATCTGTTGTAAGGAATATCAAACTTTTTAAAAACTTAAATAGTCTTTAATATATATATGATACTTATAACTACGCGTAACTCTAAATTTATTGTGTACTTTATATATATTAACATAAGCAATAAGCATCCAACTTTTATGCAAAACAAAGAATTTAATATATGCTTTACTACGCTTTAAAAAATTATTAGTAGCACTAATGTAAATCGACAATTATTTCAGAAGAAAATAGACCACGCCCTTACTAAATTAAACAATGTCATCTCCAACTGTAAACATAAAAGTGTCATTCGACAATATAACCACTTATTTAAAGTTTATTTACTGCTTTATCCAGAAGAAAGAACTACAAATTAAAAAATTATAAAAATAACGAATCCTTCAAAAGTAAATTTCTGTTCATTATATAATATATACAAATGTTTTACATTTTTTGCGATATGATTCCAATCCAAACCGATTAAATTTTCTAAAAAATATTCTTCCTTGGCGTTAATAAGAGAATCGCGCTCTAACTTGAGTTCCTTTTATAATAAATTATTAATAATGCAAAAGATAAATCCTGCGTCCACTAACCTTAAGTTCCTGTTGGACAGAAAAATCCGAAGACATTCTAAGATTCTTTTTAAAAGATATTTCAGTAACGTAACGAAAAGAAGTAATAAAATATACAAGAAGTCTTATTTTATCTTGAAGAGGTTTTAAAAGAAGTTGCCTATTAGAAAAAATAACTAAATCTCGTAACCTCTGCTTGTCCGCAAGAGTCCCTTATTAGTTATATAAGATTATAACTAAAAAACACAAAGCAGAAAATTACAAATCTTTCCCGTGTGTCTGGCGGGAATATTTTTTAACTTGTTTCTTCTTTCTAATGCGTCAGGAATAACTGGTTCCTGGGGCTACCAACAACTTGAAGAGTAACTTATAAGATACGAGATGAATATAATACCTCCGCATTTTCCAGGAAAAAATAGGGTGTATCATACACCAATTCCGAGGAACGCTTTTTTTTAACGGTCCCTAGATGAGATTGAAGCAATTCCTATCTCAAAAGTCAAAGATGAGTGTTTGAATACGCCCCCTACGCCCACTAACGATAATTGAACTCATACCTTCGCCTTTTCAACTTTGGCTATTGAATATACAATTTTACTTTCTAAGCTCTCTAAATCTTTTTGATACACTTTTAGCTTGTCAAAAGAGATTCGAAGTTTTAATAATTTAATAAAAGAGGTAAGTTGCTCCTTAGAACAAGGAGTTTTTGAATTAGCAAAGTCAGAAACTAAGAGCTTTATAGTACTTTCTTTGTTAGACATTTGGAAGAGTTAGCAGCGGTAAAATCATCGCAAGTAAATAAAATATATATTGCGAAGGTTGAACGATTTTCATGATGATAAGTCAGACCTCCGACCGAACAATGCTCATATAGCTTCGTGAGTTGTAAGAATTTTTCTACAACATAAGGGGACGCCCACTTTGAGGGGCAGAAATTCAAGTTACTTAGCCCTAACATATCTCCCAAACGTATGAAACTTTTAAACATTAAAGAATGAATTCTTGAATCCAGCATAGGAACGATGTCTTTTAAAGTGCAGTGGGATCCATGAGCACAATTTTTAATTTTACACTTAGCTTATTTAACCATAAGTTTTAGTTAGTTATGTAGCTTTCTTCTCGCTGTTTCTGTACTAAAGCCCCTGCCCAGCGTTTGGTTTGTATCTTTGAGTTTTCCCTTCTCTGAGATACCAAATTTCTAGTATTTAGATGCTTTAAAGTTTTAAAAGTCACAAACTTATATATACCTAAAGTCGATCCCCTGGTATAACCCAAATGAGTGATTATAGTTAAGCGATAATAATTTTTCACTCTACCAGTTGGAGTTATTAACGTGATTTGACCTCTTTATTAACCCTGGAAAATTAATTAGACAGAAAAGAATTACGTATATACATAATAACAATTAATGCCACCTTGGTGGCAAGTATGTCATGAGTAAATTGTTAAAAGTCGTGGGAATGATTTTGTGATAAGTACAGCACAAACATGTATATATACATGGAGTGAGGTTTAATAAATTTTACTCTCACTTCACTTTTATGTCCAGCTGCTTTCTTTGGTGTATGCCATTGCCATTTAGTTTATATTTATATATGAAACATTTCTTAATTTATAAGCACCATGCTATTCAGCAAAATTTTTACTTAATGACTATGATAAATTACCAAAGGCATTAAAAAAAAGCTAATGAATTTCAAATAGTTAGAAGTGCTTATAAACTTATTTTCAATACTATTAACCAAATTAAAGTCAAGTCTTGGTTGAGCAGGTACTTTGCTACTGTAATGTGGTAGGTCTAAAGTTTTGGTCGAATAAAATTTTCATTATCTAGACAAGGAATGTTGCATGCCGTTGTTAATAAATTTATCAGGGTTTTTACATTTTTTTAAGTCACTATGTATTTAATTTTTTTTATTTGTTACACCCTTATATTATACGATCGGCAACGTTTAGTGTTATTATTAACCGAAGAATAAGTGCGATAAGTTTTAGTAATAGGAGTTTTATAATGAGGGGTAAATTCGGTTATTTAAGTTTTTTGATTCCTCTTTGGAGTAGTGCTTAGCTATATATCTTTCTTTTTGAAAGAGCTAGCTTATAGTTAAGTATTCAGTGAGTCATGTGTGACTATTCTAGAGATCATAAAGTTTTCTGACGATAAAAACACCGAAAGGTGAACTTAAAAGAGTTATAATATATAGTAAGGAGAAAAAAAAACAATTAGTAAATTAATTAACATTGAACAATAATAGTTAAAAAAGCTAAGATAAGATCTTAGAGAGAGAGTGGAGTAGTGCACAATTATATCAAAGCTGTGCACAAGCGGAATAGAACTTAAGAAAAGACCATAGAAAGAAACAGAACTTAGATATTGGATGTAGAGGAAAAAGTGACTTAAAGAGAAAATATGCGATAGGCGCTTTACATAAGATAGTAATAAAATCAGCTCCCTCACCCTCGGGTTGGAAGCCTTAAATAATAGTAAGCGCTAAAAACACAAATCATAAAATTATCATGCGTTGGCGCATATAACAAATTTAAAGAAAATAATGGTAGGAGCGCATGCTAGGCATAGTACCGTGGCGTAAAAAATTTAGGTAACTCCTGAAAAAGTGGCTCCTCCTCAAAACTAGTGTTTAACTTGCAATCATTACCTTTCGGTAGTACTAATAACATTTGTGTCCGCTTAGGAGTTATCCAAGTAGCATTGAGTGTAATAGGTGTGTCCTCTCATGTAGTAACTTAAATGTCCTAGTACTAAATGATTGAGGGAGGTGCTAGGGTGATGTGAGGTGTGAATCATCCTTGTCTAAATCTTTTAAATTATGAGGTTAAAAATTGATACATCGTGTCATGTCCTCATTAGGTTAGCATATTGCTATTTTCTTCCGTAGATGACTGGCTAGCAAAATACACCAAGCATTATTGTAGTAGCAGCTATGTTTGCAAGAAACGACTCATGAGAGTTGGGGGTGTACAAACTGGATGATAGATCATTACCTAAGGATAGTGCGCTTATTTAATCATTACTATGCTTTAAAAAACGAACGAAAGACTTACACAAAATACAAAATTGGAAAAAAAAAATTAATGAAGCTTTAACCTTATTTATTTAAAATCTGTACAAAACATAATTTATACTAGAAGTTTTGTATAAAAATAAAGAAATTTTTTTATTTTAATAGTAATAAACATATTACTAGAAATAGAAACTTCTAAATATTATACTCTTTCTTTGAAAAAAAAAAAGCCACTGCAAAAAAAGGGCCGCTTTTATGGCCAGTGGTACTAATCCGTTTCAGATCTCTTTGTGTCGGGTTCTGTGGTCTGCTTAAGTTAATTTGTTTTAAGCAATTTTGCAATGCTTTGCACTTTGCTTAACCCCTTTTAAAAATGAGGTGCATCGCAGTAAAGGCGCTTTATTTAGAGCGTGGTGCTGGTAGCTAATAAAAACCCCAAGTTAATTTTTACAATCGTTTTTCTTGTTACTTATCAAGTTATAGTAATAATATTAACCTTTCATTACTGATTAAAAAATTTATATCTATATTACTTTATCAAAAATGTTTTTTTCTTATTTACATATATGAAAACAGGTAAAAATAAGATACTTGCGATCACAAATAACAATTATATTTCACATTAAGACAAATAAAAATTTCAAGGCGCTGCCCTTTCGTAACTGCATGTCCTTTTTTTTTTTTGGAATCTTGAGCATGTAAGAGTTCGTACAACAAATTAGTGTTGCGCCGTAGACGAAATTAGTTGTAACATCCTGATTGATTATATAGTGTCCAGAACATTCTAAACCCTAAGTTCAACAAGAATGTTCCAGAATAATAGGAAAAAATATAAATACGAAAATTATCAATCCAAATAGATTAGCCCTCATTCCTTTAAAAAAAAAAAGAGAAAAAAGAAAAAGAATTAAGTGGTGCTGATAACGTAATAAAATACAACAAAAAAAAAGAACATAAAAGGAATGAGGGCTAATCTATTTGGATTGATAATTTTCGTATTTATATTTTTTCCTATTATTCCGGAATATTCTTATTGAACTTAGGGTTTAAAAAAGGTTTGGGACATTTTATACTCACTCAGGCTGTTAAAGTGATTAAGATTGATTAAATCAGTGGTTTGCGATAATGACGTAATAGCAAATAGAGTAAAAAGCTTAGGGGTACCAGAATTTACATTAATAGATATAGATCGAAGTAAGGGTTTAAGACACGAAGAATTTAATGTCATATACAGAACTAAATTAATTTTGTCCCTAAAATGAAGTGAATAGTAAAGAATAGGAGCTATAAAATAGCTACTAGCAAGTTACTAAATAAAGAAGTTCGAAGAAAATGATACAATTACGAGTCCAGTCACGAGGGTAGCCTCAAGTAATGGTTAACGGTGGACGCCACCCATGGTTTTGCTAATAATAGGTTCGAGGCGTTTCTTTAAAGCTAAAGTTTTTGACATAAAATTAGAGAAAAAGGGATAGATATTTTCTTAAATTAGACTGCACTAGCGCCAGAGTTTTAATTCTAACACTAGTATAACTCGGCGGGTCTAAGATTATCCATTATGCACGAAGATAAATTAAATTTTTAAATTGAAAAGATTAAACTTCAAATGTATGCAAGCCTCCTTGCACTCGCTTTCTGGTTATAGTTTGTACAAGCTCTTTAATTAAGGACATCACTAAACGTAGTGTGTGTCCGTTTCATTTTTCATTTTGTTTTTTCTCTATCTGCTTATCTGTTACGTTACAGCGCGTATTCTCTAATTTTCGACTGAGTTTAGGCCAAATCAAGTTCTTTAAAATTTGTATTTTATTCGCTTATTAATTTTTTTTGAATAGTTTTCTTAGTTTCATTATATTATATTTATACTTTTTTCTACTCTAACCTTATACTTTATTATTTCTCTTCTCACTTTTTAATACATAGGATTTTTTAATAGAGCACCTTTTTTTTAAAACTAGGTGTTAATACTATTACCCTATAATACATGTATATATTAATTTATATTCTAGAGTAGTTCGACAAAAGATAAAAACAATTACTATCGTTTGTCAGTCTCGTAATAGCTTGTACTCATGATGTTAGCTTTAATTAATTAGGATATACACGACCTCGTTTTTTTTGAGGAACAAAAAACTGGGCCTGAAATAAAACCTTTAAAGGAACTATAATGACTGCGATAAGGATTTGTATAAATATGACTTAAGTTACAAAGCATGTCACTTAGATTGTTGAGGTCTCTTGAAAGAAAGTCTCGTTAACAGCATACTCTGCATCGCCAAATACAGCTTGAACTAATTTAACAATATGCGAGTTACAAAAAAATATTTCTTAAAGCATTTCGAGGCACATATTGCTATACGTAAATTAATTCCAAACAAAAAAAAATAACTATTTTGAAATTTCTCCTTTGTAATATCGAATTGGAAATAATTTTAATATACAATATTTTATTCGTTAAACAGATAAATAGTAGTAAACTTAGCTGACTCAATAATGAGCACGACATTAATTCGCTACATCGGAGCCCCAAACTAAAAAGGTGAATGTGAGCCTAGATACTTTCGTTAAAGATAGCAAAAAGTTCGTCACGACACTTTAAATATATAAACTTCTTAAAGGCTGCTACGTGAACCCTTAAGTCACAATACCTTTTCTAAAAAAATTGTGTGGTAAATTTGGCACCTTCAAACAGCCCGCTCACTTTGAACATAATCAAAGCTGGGATTAAAGGTACGGGTGATCTCATTTTATAAGGACAAGTAACTCTAACAGGTTAAATATTTAAAGACATTTTTATAAAAATTTACACAATTAACGAAGCGATTAAAATCATTACAAAAGGTGAACGCTCTTTACTAAAGTATAAAATCAGTGATAAAACATATCACTACGTAAAGGATGTTTAAAAAAAGAAGAGCATACATTACAACACTTGAACAACAATTACGACCCCCCAGATAAATTTGCTACATCACAAAATATATCATTTCATATAAACTTATTTAAAACACGTGAAACTATTAATTACAACTAAAAACACCATATATGAACACTGGTAAAATAATCATGAATTCTAACCAAATTATAAAATCAGTATATTTAATTTAATTTGTATCCACTTCCTTGTAAATATTTATAATTGTTTCGATTTTCTTTTATGAAACGTTTCACTAATACTTAGAACTAAATGCTTTAATAAATGTGTTTTTGTTTCTTGAAGGGGCGCCCACTTTAGCGTGACGGGTATCTAAAAAATTGTCCTATTGAGTTAATTCTATTATTACCCCGTAATTGTAATTTATCCGCTGGTAATTAATTAAATGAATAATAAGGGAGAGGCTTGTGTTACTACTTTATGTTTTCATAATGCTCTTCTGAGCTTGGGCGTCCATTTTTTGCTCGGTGTAAATTATATCACGAAATCAAGTAAGAAATTTTAATTGGTAGAAATTCTTGTTTATAATTCATTTTTTCCGATCATTATTAAAAGTCATGTCATGTCTTTGTGTATTAAAATTTATAGAAACCATAAAAGTAATGTGCACCGAAAGGTTTACAAGGGGAGGGCAAAACAAGAAGAGATAGAATTTAAAATTTAATAGGCTACAAGACGTGTGTCCATGATGTACTTTCACTAATAGACTGTTACACTCAGAGTTAGAAACAAAAAAAAAAATTCGGTTTACACATTTTACTAAATTGGTGAGAATAGAATGTTAATAATATTTATAGTCTAACGATGTGTTTTAAATGATTTTGTTTATGTATTATGATATTATTAATGTTTTGTGATATTGTACTTTAGAGTTAACATTAACCTCCGGTTTTTTTTTTGCTATAATTTGCCTACAATTAATAAAATAATAGAAACCTAGCATACTATCAATTAGTCCTCATTTTAAAATTTTTGATAACCCTCAAAAGTTATAATAAAACTTCTAGAAGATAAATAGTAGCTTATAAGGCTGGTAAAGTCACAGATATTTTGAGTACAAGTTAAAATGACTCCTATTTAATACCGATAAATATAACGTTAGCGATCTCGAATACGTCAGGAGGATAACTGGACTTTACAGTTCTAAACCCAAGTTTAGATAAATTCATCGAACTTTTACATTATTAGAGGTGTGTATGTCGCCACTTGCGCTCAGTGTTTTCGATTAAATGTTTACATAATAAAATACTAAAGCATGGTTTATTTATATTATCTTTTGGTGCTCGCCAGTCAACTCTTCAGTTACTTGAGCTTAATGTAAACTAATTACATTCTATTCACAGCTTAATAGGGTTTTCCATATTTTTTCACCAGTGAAACAAAATTTAGCGTTTAAAACGTTTCAAGTGAAAGGCGACAATGTACTCCGTCCTCGTGAATGAGCTTGCTCACCTCCAGGTGGTTGATGTACCTGGTTAGCCGGTCATAAAAGGCAAGGTATCGCGTTTGAAGTCCCGTGAAGGGTTTATTTCGCACAAATCACGGCGCATCTTTTACCACGCTAGCAACTTGTTTTTCGCATTTGAAATGCGGTGAACTCTAATGCCTTAAAGACATAGGCTCAAGAGGTCGACGGGTATGTCATTATGGACTGAATGTAAAGCACATACAAGCGTATCTAGTTGCGCAGCGAAAGCTTGCTCTTAGTGCGAAGTAACCGTAATGCGCAACTTGACCTCCGCTGCTAAGTAGACCAAGTGCGGTCGTGAAAAGAATTTGTGTTCGATGACTCGCAAGTATTTCTCTTGTGCGTACTACGAGAGAAGACGCATTTCTTTGTTATAGAAAGTGCTTTGTACTTTGTCGCAATAATAGCAACTTTACATTTACAGCACCAGTCGGCAAGCGCGCTAAGATAGCGCTGAAGATGCTGCCACAGTAGGGCGGGTAACTTGATCATTGTATCATCAGCGTAAAGGGCACCTAATGCAGCTAGCTTATGAAAAGCAGGGGCGAAAGAAGAGAACTTTAAGACAGCGCTAAAAAGCGGCCTGACACACTTTGCCGGCAGCTGACAGGAGGTTGATGGGCCGGTAGTTGCTAGTTGCAGATTAGGGTCTCTGGGTTTATGCACATCACAACAGTCGCCCTCTTTCATTGAATTGGAAAGGCATCAAGGGCCATCACCGGTTAACTAGGAGGCTCAGGTAATGCATCACTGCTAAAGGCATTTGTTTTAGCATCTTTTTAAAAAACACCGTCGGAGTCAGCGCCTTTTGTTCGACAATAAATCAAATCTCGTCTTCATTACTCTTGGCCACGGACCGTTTAACTAACCGCTGTCGCCTTCCTCTACATTAGCCTTTCATCTTCAACTAAATGCGCCAACAGCTTTTTTTGAAAGCACCTGCGCAATCCTATTTAAAATTATACACAACATGCAAAAAAAAATTGTTTGAGGATAAACGAATTAAGAACTTTATAAACTAATTTATTTAATAAATGTCAATTTTTAGCATTTTTAGCAGAAAATAATTTAACCAAATAATTTTATATAAAATTTTGGAACCAAAAAAAAGCATTTATATAATATAATATTAGAATCTTTACATACTTTGTAAAAGTATAGATATGACTTGTTTGCGTCAATAAGAGAAACCTACGTTTATATTTCTCTCGCCCTCTCTTGTTGGTGTTATTAAAATCGGCTTATAAAAGCGTAATTCATATTCTCCACCCAGTAGGAGCTTGGCGGCAGCAATACTGGCTGCTCTAGGAAACCTCAATTAGAGATCTTCTAATATATAATTTTTAAAAGAAGAGACGCCTTCAAACCTCTTTGTAAGAGGAAATATAGATGAAGCAGTTTTTATTACTTTATTACATATCTATTATAGTATTATAATACTTATAATATATTAAAATAAAAATTAATTTTCTTTGCAAATTAAATTATTAGAGATGGACCTCGTCGTACATTTAACGAAAATTATTAATTAGATAAAGAAATATGAGCTCGAAGGAACCCCAGTTTATGAATGATAAAGATTATAGATAAAAAATTTGCCTAGTAAATGGGTTTGAGTTCGATACGTGCGAAAGTTAATTTTTCCTGCTCTTTGATTCTGTGACTGGTTGGTATAAGGGGTCATTTTTTCATATTTATATTATCTAATAAATTTTTAACATTTATTGCTACCTTGAGTTACATATATATTTACGCTTTTTACAGACATTACGGATGAGATGGCATTGTAGCAATAACATTAGGTAAAAAACGCAATTCAGATATCGTGGCTCTACATATATAGCTTAAGCAGGAAGTTATTGCTTCGCTCCAATTTTAATTCGCAAAATAGCACCTCTCTTAAAAGTGGTTTTTCGCAAATCAACTGACTTAACGGCCGAAAACCAAATTTAATATTCCTCCGCAGTTCTTCGGTCTCTCTGAGAATTTAAAAATGTCTTGAGAGTTATATTCTGGTGGAAAGAGTGCTACTATAGGTTCGATTCAATACTAGTGTAAAAAATCTGCCATCAGCTTAGACTCAAAAGAATGTTAAAAATCGAGTATTTCTATAATTTCCTTTAGTATTTAGAAAGCCAAAATGATCTTTATTTTTAGAACTGCCAGCTAAGCTCCCTTGACATTACAAATTAATCTATGATTTTTAAATTTAGTGAAATTAGCCTTTAACCCCAGTCGTAACATATTTTCTATTGTAACGAGCTTTTCAATTGCTTTTCTTTGGATTGGGCTATAGTATGGCTTTAATTTATAATAAAGTTGCTCTGACCACTCACATTTTAGCAGATAGAAACTCCCATTTACTTAATTACGCATTGATAGCCCGTGTGTTCAACGCTCAATGTCGATTACTTAACTTTAATTTACTTATTGCTAACTTAACGAGCTTAAGTATCTATACCTTTGTGTAAAATGGTTTCAGAGGTTAATTTCGCTGCACCGCAGTTGTAAGTTTCTTTAAACAAGTTATTATGTTTCACGCGATTCTCTAGTATTACTAGTTGTTATTTTTGTAAAAGTGTTAGTTAAAATACATCTATTTTTTTACTTTTTATAATTACTCTAATAGAAAACCTCACAGAATTGTAGCAAAAGAACAGCTAAGCAACCAAGATTTTAGAAGGCTTTTACTAACGCCACGGACTAGTATTGCTCCTTACTTTTAGATAAAATTGTGGGCTTAGTATAAAATATTATAATCTTTATTAGGTGACTCTGACCAAATTATTAACGGGGCAGCAGCTAGTTATTATGCAACAATAAAGAAACAATCCGCCCACCTAGCTCCTAGGAAAGCTACTACTCACAAAAGAAAGCATAATCCTAACGCGGAATATTTTAAAGAAAGGGCAAAAGCAGAGGCTGAATTGGCAGCCAAATATAGAGACAGAGCTAAAGAAAGAAGAGAGGGCACTAATCTTGACTACAAAGAATCTGAAGAGCTTATAAAGAAGATACACTTGGACTTACAGGACCGAGAGTTGGCTTATGAAGAGAGCAAGTTTTTGGGAGGAGATTTACAGCACACGCACTTAGTAAAAGGTTTGGATTATGCTTTGCTTCAGAAGTCGAGGAACGAGCTGTTAAAAACTGCACTTGAAAGAGAAAAGTTGAAAGAAAATACCATTCAATCCGATGAAGTTTTTAGCGGCTAGCTGCACCGACTAGTGATGGTTTAAAGGAAGGTTTTGAAGCTTGTAGGACACGACTGGGTAAGAATATTTGTAAGGTTTTATTTAACCGTTTAAGGAAGCGTAATGAGCTATTTCAACCCGGTCGAATGGCTTACGTTTTTGATCTAACCGACTCTGAAGATATTTTCGATCCCCCTACCACTGTCCTGCGCTCCTTGGCGGATTTGACTGCTAGGGATGACTATCATAGTGGTAGTCACCAAGATTCTAGCAATGATATTGTCATTGAAAAACTACAACAAATTTTTTTGTACACCCGCCAGGGATTGCGAGGTAGGGAGAGTAAAAAGAATCGGAAGTTAAAAAAGGCAGTGGTAAGTGCGGATTCACGCGATCTTCCAGATAATAAGCTTTTCCAAAAAGAAACTATTTTCTCAGAAGACGAAGCCGACACAACACTTGCAGGGGAAGAAGTCAATAGCACTAGCACATTTTATAAAGCAGATCTTAAAAATTACTTTGAAGTTTACGACTTAGCTAATAGTAAGGTTAGTATTAATAAAGTTAGAGACAAAGAATTTACTCTTGAGACGGCAATTAAAGACCTTGAAGATGATGACAATGTTCCGGACCACAATATAAATGCGCCTGCCAAACATCAAAGTAAAAAGCCGAGTCAATTTTTATCCTCTCGCAACGAGATGGAGGAAAGTTATTTAGAATGTTATCCTAATTCTTATGCGGCGGATGTAAGTGTCAACCAAAGCGATAGTGACGGCGAGCCAGACTTTACCAAAATGGACAGCGGTAGTAAGAGGGCCCACTTAAAGAGATGGGACTTTGAAACAGAAGTTGACTGGGAGAAACATAAGGAGAAAGCAGAAGCCGTCCCTAAGTGCTTTTATATGTGATCGTTCTTTTTCTATCTACCCCCACCTAAGCACTTCGAATTGTTAGGGCCGCCTTCCAGTTCGGACTTAAAATGGATCAAGGGCGTACTACACGCCGAAATAAGGTAGCAATTCTTTTAGACGGTTGTTGGTCCTAACATTTACTTTGTTTATAACCATAAAGGGCGGGAAGTTGGACATGAAGTCCAAGATAGACTTAGAGTTGAACAAGTTTAGCCAAATAAGAAATCAATATAAAGGCACTAACGAACCAATTTTATAACACTTTAATTAAAGTTTAAGGTAAGCAGTTTTCTGAATTTTATTTACTCTAAAAAGTAATATGTAACCTTAAAATTTAGGATATATATTTGTTTATATCGCTCTCGAAAGTTCAAGTCATGCTCTCTATTTTCTAATAAGCTCGGCTTAGGCTTTATTTATGTAATGGGTAAAACTTTAACTTCCAATAAACGTATTATACATAAGAGTTTTTTTTTTCTGACAAACATTTTCAAGCTCCGAAAATACTGCTTGAATATTTTCCCACACCACGTTTGGAGGGGATGAGGCGTCTATCTGCGTTAAAATTTTTCTACCTTTTGAAATGATATGAGAGAGTTTTAGCAGAAAAAAACCGAAATTGTACTATACCTAAATAATAAGCGCATAGGGGGTATGTCTGTCGGTGATAGATTTTCAGTCTTTTCTTTAGAGTCTCTTCATTGTCGTCAGTGCGGCGGACTAATGGCTCTTTAGTAATCTACAGAGCAGATTAAAAAATTATATATTATTGTTATTATGTGTTACGTCGTCGAGCATGTCTTGCTTGGGAGGATTGAAATCAGTGTGGTAAGATCTTCCGCTTGAAGGATGCACAAGCCTTCCTAATATCCTTTTAACCTATAATATACCGTCGAATAGCCTTTTTAATAAAAAAATTAAATGAATAATTACGTACTAACAAGGAGTCGTCTATTTTTAACTCAATAACCGAGTCTAGGGGCGTTTTTCTCTCATCAAGCATTTCGTCCAACTTAGGGGATATTAATTTTTAAATATTATTTAAGCGTTTTAAGGAGTTACTTTAACAGCCTGCATAACAGTACGCGGGAAACCGTCTAGAACAAAACCATGTTGACACTCTTAATAAACAAGGGTTACAATATTAAGTTAGGACGACAACAATTTTTACCTTCTTTTTTAAGACTTTCTTTAATCAAGTTAACCATGGTATCGTCGTCCACGAGTTTACCTATTAGTTAGTATAAAAATGATCATACAAAGTTTTATATTCCAAAATAATTGTAGCTGGAGTATACTTCATATTACTTAATTCTATAAATAAATATTAACTTTACGAATAGGAACCAGCATCCATTATGGCTTTAGCCTTGATGCCAAGACTTGTTCCAGCTTTAACGGCAGCCCTGAGCATGTCTCCAGTGGCTAAGTGACATATTTTATACTTTTCAACGAGATTAGGAGCCTATAAATATTTGGTTTGTATAAACTTCACATTAAGGTCCCCCTTATAAATAAAAACTAGCAATCGTTTAATTATTTTAATAATAAATATCTATAATATAATTCCGCAAGTTGCCTTTTTCAAATCAACTAAATTCTATTAATGATAAAGGGCCTACTTGAGTCCCCTTTCCAGCTCCTGGAGGGCCAAGAATAACTACCCTAAGCCCGGATTCACTTTGCTCAGTACTTTTTTTCTTTATTTTTGAATCATCAGGCATTGGTCTTAAGGAATCGCAAAAAATATAATAATATAAAGAGTACTACGGCCACTCTTTGAATCGCAAGAGTATAGGAAGGGGCACGCTACTACGCCCAAGCAAGGAATAGTAGGACGCACCGCTTTTTGTAAGCTGGGGTCGTATTGCCGCTATGTACCAATAAATTTAATTTTTTTTTAATTTAGTTAAACAATTGTATAATTTTATTATAAAAAATTGGTCTGAAAATAAGCCTACTTAAGTTAAACCATGGAGTGACCCCTTATATTATATTTACAAACTTGTGAGACAACTTTGTATCAAACCGTATACATTAAAACACATACTGACAACTTCCCAGTCTTTTCACGGGGCTCTGCTCTTTTATTTTCAAAATTAATTGGGTTAGAGAGCAATATTACACTAGAAGATGGGCAATGACAAAATGAAATGTAAATAATTAAATGTTTTTGAAGCTTCTTCAGTTGTTTCCTTTTAAATTTTAAATAACTTAAGTGCGAGCGGTGTCCATCCGGTTTCGTCGCTCATTCCGGGTTCTTGTCCGCGGCGTTTCCTGTTGCAGGGAATACATGAAAGTTTGGTTGAAAAAAGAAAATACTGTGCATAATACTCTGCTGTCTATAATATTTAATATATATATAATTATAAGTTTTCGCAGTTTTGTACGACAGTATACTAAGAGCTAAAAATTAACATATGTTTTTAACTCAAGAACACTGCTAATTTTTGTTTCTTATAAGTTAAGACTTCATGAAAAACGTTTGTTTTTGTAGTTCATTGCTTAAAAGGGCTTAACAAATATTTTTTCTTGTATCGCGCGGTTGTGCGATGGCCTGATTGTCACGTTTAATAGCGTCGCTGGGCTAGTGAGATTAACAAAATATAGTATATTTTCTTTACTGAGTAAATTTTATTAAACTTTGGTATCACCATATTAGATAATGTCAGTGCGCAAACATAAAAGTTGTTATAAGTAATGTCATGAAAACTATAAGTGTCATTACAATTTATAGACTAAACTTCGACTGAAATGCAATAGGTGCAATGGGATATTATTACCTTTCATCCAAAGTCGAACACTGGTTCTAAGCATTGGTAAGCTAAAAGGCATTTCACAGATATTTGAAAATATTTACCATCGTCGTTTCTCTTTTACCTTACGCAACCTAGTTTTTTTAAAAAGCAAGAACGGTGTTTTATAGTTTTATATAGGCATACAGCGTCCATTAACTGCCAATAAATAGAAGAATTTAATAATAGCAGTAAAATGTTAGTCAAAAAGTTGGCCTAGAATAAGATACCAGTTACCAGTTATAGTGATATGTGGTGCTAAATAACGCGGGTCTGCTCTAAGTACGGGGACTAAAAATTATTGACAAGAGCTATGTGGGTTCAGTATAACAAGTTAATGTAAATCCATCATACCGGGTTTCAGTGATTTTAAGGTAGCTCAGGGGTTAAGTGTATTACGGCGCAAACTCAAGGTTGTGGGGTCAATCCTTTTCGGCTTTTAATGGTTGCGTACTTTATTACTTTTGGTTTAACAAGCCACTCCTGCTGTTTCATGAAGAGTGTTTGCTAAAGAAGGGCCCCCTAAAGATTGCCTTATTTGTAACAGGCAATACGTGTTTAATTTAAGTGCAGGGGCACATACACTAGCTGCTTTAGATACACTAATTTTGTAAATCTCATATAATTGTGTTATTTAAAAAGTTTAAAACCTCTCTACATGGAAGGTATACGAAGTGCAGTAAAAGAGTTCAAAAACCTCGTTAGAAAATTTACTTTAATTAAGGTTATACCTTATTTTTACGCTACCTTTTCATAAGTCGAATGTCTCGGAGGTAACTAACCTCGTCGAGCACCGGGTCATATATATATTAATAAATTTTAAAAATTAATTGGCACCGTCACTATGGCGCGTAGCTCTCCTGTTTATGTATAAAGTTGCGTACCTTTGGCAATTTTTACTAACCCTTCTATAATGTAGCATTACATTTAACAACCCAAATAAAAACTTTAAGAGGATAGCAAAGGTTATAATAAAGAAAATAGTCACTTAAAATTATAAAAATTTATAATACTTAAATTATCGGAAATTACATTTAATGGAGTATATCTTGCACAAGAAGTCGAAAGGAAAATGTGAGTGCCTGTTAAGATTCCAGCCTCTTATAATTGTTTGCTTAGTGAATCCTTTTCCACTTAGCTGACACACTATATCCCAAGCTTTTAAAACCCTAATATGATGACCACTTTAAAAGTTATTAATTAAGTTATACCTTGCAAATATGTTCATTGCTCTAATTGTATCTATATCATTTAAACTACTCTCTGTTTGGTTTATAAGGCGATAGCTGGGAAGGACTTTATTTTGTCCGAGCTAAGGAGTCGTCATCATGAGCGCCTTTAGCACTCCGATTATTGATCATATGTGGCTACCATACACTAGGATTTTTCTCTTTCAATATCCCGATAAGAAAATGCGTCTACTTTTGAAAGGAAGCTAGAAGTATTGAGAGTTTACTGTCTCGATGGAGTACCAGGTAAAGTTGTATACAAATATAAACAGGAGTAGTTCCGCACATTTTCTTTATACTAAAATGCTTGTTATTCGCATTTTAAGCTTCAAGTTTTGCTAAAATTCTGTTATTTGTCTTTATTCCATTTTTAAGTTCTGTTAGAAATAACTGATGAATAACGTAATCCTCCCACAGTTAATCTGTTGGCATGCACCACGGAACTCTTCTCGTGTCCTCGCACATTTTTTGTTCACCTCTTTTGCTCTCTAGAAACCCTTTCTCCTTTTCCTTTACAGGACAATATATCAGTCCCTCCTTCTCTTTTTCCCCATCAGGTTAAAGAAGTCTTGAAGTTAAAGACTCCTTCCGTTTAGGTCTTTTGTTTTTCATGATCCTACGCCCCAGAAGCCAGTGCTGTTGAACCTACGCCTTTAGAGTCCTCTCACATTTCCTATGGAAGCTCGGCTGAATTTATTTTGGCAAATAATAGTCTCCGGGGCATAGTTATTGCTGTGCACTAACACTATATAAAATTAGGTGTTTAAATAATCCTGCAACAAATAGTTTACTAGCTAGTCTATCTAATACCAGATAATAGCCTCTCGTATTAGTTTCTAATGATTGTATGATATATTGTACATATACTATCAAGCATACCAAGAATATAGCAAAGTCTAAAACTTTGTTGGGTCATTTTAACGGTTAATTTCCAACTTATCTTTCCTTTTGTAATCACGTAAATGGTAATAACTGTATTTTAAGACAAACTTAGCCTTACTTTTTATTTTTATCTTCTTAATGCAACCGCTCTAACGTTTTTGCGCTCATTTGTTAGAGAATACAACTTTCTCGCGTTTGTTCTAGCTTTAAACGAATTGTTACCGGCTGACGTCCTATTTTAAAATATTATACCCTTTGGGTCTTTAAGCCTAACATAGAAGGAACTTATTTCTAAAGGTCGGGAAACCTAAATTAAAAAATACACTAAATACAATAACATAATCTTTCAACAATAACACGAAAAAAACCAAAAATAGCCAAATGAAAATAAAGATTTAAAAATAATAAATTTAACCAAAAAAATACTACTTTTGATTAATATATTAATCGGACAAAAAATTATTATTTTTGTAATTTAAAAGGAATAAATTATTTATATAGAAATGTAAATATTATTTTTTTAAAAAATATAAATACAGACACTACTGCGATAAATTTATATATATATACATCCTTTTTTTATAGGAAATTGTTAGTCTGCTATTAAGGTAAATTAGTCTTTAACGGCTCTCTCCTCTCCATTAATTTTTTTTTCATATCTACTTTTAGCCAGCCCTTTCCTTATAGTATGGTTGGCTCTTCTTGCCATCACGTTATCTTGTTGATGACCCGCAATTACATCATTATTTTACCTTAGTATGATCTTAAAAAGTTTCTCACTTTACGGGTTCCTTGTCCATAATTACTTTAGGTTTCCTTTTTTACTAGCTCCTTTATCCTTAAAATGCTTAAGCCTAAACTTACGTAGCGTACCTGCCGAGTATGATCACTTCACTCTCGAAGCCTTTTTTCGTATAAGGCTTTTAGATAGGTTCACCATTTTGTTGCAACGGTTTTGTGAGCACCGAATCGTATACAGGTAATACATTCTATGCTACTTATGTTCACTCTCATCCTCAATTAAGTCATCTGCAATTTATTTATCAAAAAAACCCTTAAAAATTAATAATCCGAAGGCTCTCTCCTGTAAATACCTTCGCCAACTAGTTAGTCAACACGTCGGAAGTTTATGCTTAACTAAATAGACTCTATCAGGTCTTGTTTTTAGGGAAACTGTAGAATGCGAGTTGGTACCGGCGGGAATCGAACCAGCTACCTTGAGACTGCGTGACAACACTCTAACCACTGAGCTACGGGGACAACTCAATCTTCGGTCGATAAATTACGTATACAACTTTTGCTAGACTCTTTAGTCCTCTGTTAAGTTACTAAACCTATCCAATTACAAATCACTTCAAAAATCGTGCCTTACACCCCTAAAAACTAGGTAAGACGCTTTACACCTAGCCATAGGTATGTTAGGTCCTTTAACTAGTAACTTTATCAGTGCCTTAATTAACTTAAGCTTACGATCAAGTCTAGAGTTTATCACGGACAAAACTACTACTTTCCCTACTATTATCGCCTTAAACACTTATGAATTTTGGCTATGCTGCACTATATTACAACTATAACTACTAAAAGTAATAATAATAAAGAATACTAAAGCTTAGATAGATTAAATAATATCTTGATAATACTAAATTACCAAATAAAATACAATAAAATGAAATAAAATGAACAAAACAGTAAATAATATCTTGATAATAATATTAACTTAAATAAATTAATAAACACATTAAAGCTCTCCTTTTTTACGCCAAATAGTGGCTTTACTCCTGACATTGTAAAAATACAGCGTTGGGGGTTTGTCGCTTAGTAAAGGTGTTTTACCCCTAACGTCGTAGTAATACGGTGCTGGAGGTATTCAAATAGTGGACTTAG